GATTTCCAGTTTAATTCCATTATGGCCTGAGAGCAGATGTTGTATGACTTCCATGTGAGCTTGAGGACAGTGTATATTTATGCACATTTTATTCTATACACATATATTTGTTTATACACATTATTTTCCTTCTCTCTAAGGAACTTCTTTAACATTGCTTGCAAGACAGGTCTACTAGTAGCAAACTCCCTCTTGGTCTGAGAAAGTTTATTTCTCTTGTACTTTTGAAGGATAATTTTGCAAGATGCAGAATTCTAAGTTGGTAAGTCTTTTCTCTCAACACTTTGAATATTTCACTCCATGTTGTTCTTGCTCACATGATTTCTAAGGATGTAATTTTTATTGTGATTTTTTTTCCTCTTATTTCTTTCAAGACTTTATCTTTGATTTTCTGCATATGATATGCAAAATATGCATGTAATGTGTGAATATATGAATATAATAAGTAGGCATAGGGTTTTTGGCTGTGTTAACATATGTCCTGCTCATTATTTGTATCTGATATTAACTTGGGGAAATCCTTAGTTGTTAATTGTTTCAAATATTTCTTCCATTCCTTTCTTTCCATCTGATATTCCCATTATGTGTATGTTATATCTCTTGTAAGTTTTCCCACGATTGTTGAATAATCTGTTCTTGGCTGTGTTTGGGGTGATTGTTTTTCTTCAGTATTTTTACTTTTTAGTTTTGGAAGTTTCTATTGAGATATTCTCAAGTGCAGCAGTTCTTTCCTCAGCTGTGTCCAGTTTAATATTAAGCCATCAAAGGTATTCTTTATTTTGTATGTGTTTTTATCTCTAGCATTTCATTTTGATTCTTTCTTAGAAATTCAGTATATCTGCATACATTTCCTCTTTGTTTTTGCATATTGTACTTTGTCCATTAAATCCCTTAGCATACTTATAATAGTTGTTTCAAATTCCCAATCTAATAATTCCAACATCTTGCCATGTTTGAATCTAGTTTGATGCTTGCCTCTGTCTCTTCAACCCAAATTATTTGCCTTTTAGTACAACTTATAATTGTTTCTTGATAACCAGACATGAGGGTAAAAGGAATTGCTATAAGTAGGGCTTTAGTAATGTGATGTCAAGGTGTGGGACTATCCTGTAGTCCTCTGATTATGTCTTGGTCTCTTGGTGATATGTGCTCCTAGACTGTCAACTTCACCAGTGCTTCTTAGCCCCTCCAGCCCTCCTAGGTGGAACAGGTGGCTGGAGGGGGCTGGAGTTGGGTATATCCCATCATTAAGGTAAGTTAGACTCAGTTCAGATCCAAACATGTTAACTTCTAGTAAAGTAGTTTCTCCTGATTGCAGACCTTGTAAGAAGAACAGAATTCTCTGGTGTATTTGTAAATGGGTCCTTTACCCTTCCCCTTCCAGAAGCATAAGGGGATTTTTCCTCCCATATTCACTGTGAGAACCTGGTTGAGCTTGGAGATAAAATTCACAAAAGTGGGGTTTACTGTGACCAGTTCCCCTGGACTTTTTAACTTTCAGAACTTTTAACTTTCCTACATAGAACTTCCAGCAATTTGTCAAGTACAGTTTAGATTTTCCTACCTCAGAATTTATTTCTATGGAGATATCTACTTGTGGGTTTCTGTTCTAGTAAATTGTGATTCACCTGTCTTTCTCCAAGTTGGGGACTGGGAGGAGGCAGTAGCTTGCCATAAGACCTCACTTCTCTGATAAATCTAAAATGGTGGTTGAATTTTTAGTTTATTTAGCTTTTTACTTGTTAGGATGGAGTGGCTACTTCCAAGCTCCTAATTATATGCCGAATCTTTCTCAGATTTTTTTATAGCCTTTAATTCTGATTTCATGAATACAGTAGTGAATGAAAACATGACAATATACAAAAATATCTTTCTGACCTTAAGATCAGGAAGGCTTTTAAAACAAGATGATAAGCATAAACTATTTAAAAAGACATACAACCTTTTACCTATCTGAAGAAAGGTAATATCAACATATTTAAGTATGTTAAAATTAAGACAGCTCATCTCTCCTCCACATGGCATCAGTTGGGGTGGCTCACTTGGAATTGGAGGATCCACTCCCAAAATGGTTCATTCACATGATTATCAAAATTGATACTTAGTTCTTGGTTATTCTTCCCATGGACCTCTCCAAAGCATAGCTTGGGTTGCCTCATGCCATAGTGATTGGGTTCTAAGAGCAAGTGCCCCAAGAGACAAAAAGGAGAGGCCACCATTTTCTTAAGACTTGAACACTTAAGAAATCAGCATAGCATCATTGCTACCATATTATATTGATCAAACAGTCATAGAGCCTAGCTTCAAAAGAAGGGGAATAGATTCTACTTATCTATAGGAGGAGGATCAGAATTATGAAAACCACCAGTCCACTCTCTGGATGGAAGTCATTTACATTTTTCATACTTGGAAAATTCATTCTTCTTGAAAGATTCCCCATTAAAGGTCTCATCCCTTTACATCAGTCTCCAGATCTAGGATCTCATCTTATGAATCAGGTCCAGGTACAAATGAAACCTCGCAAGTGCAATTTCTCAATTACAGCTCTTTGAATATAGTTCTCAATCTGAAAACCCGTGAACTAAAGAAACATGTTTTCTACTCCCCAGATACCCAACATCTGACGGTAAGTATTTATAGATATACCCATTCAAAGGGGAGAAAAACTTGTGAGTCATAGAGGCACATAGCAGTCACAGGTCTATTGTAATACTAAAATCCAGCAGGGCACATTGTAATTGACAATATCTTAATTAGATCGATTGCTATTCATGGGAGTCATTTTCCATAGCTCTGGTTTTAACCTCTAAATCATTCTTTTCTACAAGAATATTGAGATTGCTGTCTCAGTCTTCTTCCTGCATGCAAGGGATTCCTTTCATTTGTACCATCTCTGTTCCTTTTAGTCTGAGCTGGCAATACTTCTACCAGAATGATTCTCTTAGAAACTGTAGGAATTTTTTATGAATAGTATTGGATTTTACTTCATTAGATAAAAACACAACTACAAATCTCTTGAAAATAATACCTTCTCCACTTTGGGCTTCCTGTACAGCTGCTGTGAGACAATGTCCATAGTATTCTTTCAAATCCTATTGTTTAAGGGAAACAATCTGTGAGACTAGCCCTTGTGATTCGTAGAAGAACTTTGGTTTGAAAGAGTTTGTATGAAGTCTTTAATCATTCTGACATCTTTTTTTTTAGGCTTTTTTTTTTTAAGATTTATTTATGCATACAAGAGCTAGGGCACAGGCCAGAGATGCGGGGGGTGAGAGGATTCACCAGAGACAGAGTGGGGAACAGAACAGGCAGACCGACTGAAATACACTGCTGAGGGGAGCAGTGGGAGAGACAGGAGAGGTCTGCTGCACCATGTGGGTTTCTCTCTGGCCTGTTGGGATTGAACTCGCACTGCAGAGGCTGCGGATTACTCCATAGTGCGGTGCTTAAGCCCTTGCACCACCAGAGATGCCCCCATTCTGACATCTTAATAAAAGATTTTATTGCCCCATTGTAGATCTGACCCTTTCTTAATTTAGAATTATTTGTCTTCTGGGAAGACCAGACATAATAAGCAATTTTATTTGTGGACTCAGTCAATTCCAGGCTTTTTTCTCTTTTTTTAAGTTCTCTAGCTCATCTTGCATTTTTATCACAGGTAGTAAGAAACCAGATGGCACTTTCATCACTCTGTCTGGAAATGTCCTTAGCTATTTCATTAAGTTCATCAGGGACATTTCCTGTTTCCATGTTATTGCAGGTGACAGTGTTGTCAAACTTTCCATCACCACCTAACAAGCATCCATGTCCTCCAGTAATCTTCCAATAAGATACTCCTCCCTTCCCTTTAAGCCCTCACTGCCAGTCTCCCATCAAAACTCTATTCAGTGTCATTTCAGCTTTCACTCACTCTTTTTGTGGCTCTTTAGGCTTCTACTACCCAGTCCCACAGTCACTGCCATGAATATTAGGCTTTTGTTACCTCAGCATTCCCCATTCTTTGTTAGGAATTCTGCTTTCTCATGTATGCTAAATCAGTTGCTAATCTGCCAGACTGCCTTTCCAGTTCCAAAATTTTATGTTGTCTCCTTGTTAACTGACTCATCTTAGTGGGTTTTAGGAGAAAACAGTTAAATATATATTTCAGTTCATCTTGTTATTCCTTTACTTTTTTCCATTTCTTTTTCACCTGTCACCTTCTGTACTCTACCTTCTTCTATGTTCCATCTCCTTCATCTTGCTTCTCCTTAGACTTAGAATGATAAAGGGACTACGTGGTGGTGCAAGGCGTTAAGTCTCAGCATTATGAAGCTGTCTGTAGCCACCGCAGCACATGTTCCATCCCTGGCCAGGGAGCTACCCACATGGTGCAGCAGACCTCTCCTGTCTTGCCTGCTGCTCCCCTCAGCAGTGTATTTCAGCAGATCTGCCTGTTCTGCTCCCCACTCTGTCTCTGGTGAATCCTCTCACCACCACCGCCCACCTCTGGCCTACACCCCAGCTTTTGTATGCATAAATAAATAAATCTTTAAAAAAAAAGAAAAGAATTCTAATGATAAAGATACAAGAGACCTCAGACCATCTGGCTCAACCCCTCAGGTGGTAAACCTGAGGCCAGCAGTCCATCCACAGCCCACACAGCTACTGCTCTTATCTTTTCTGCCTTTAATAGCAAAAGGGGCTTTTAGCCCTATTACCCCTTCCATTAGTAAACCATGACAGTATGAGAAAGAAGAGTATACCACCCACCCCCAGATCAAGTGGAAGCCTAGAAGGGAAATCAGAAGAGAGAATGTCATCGCTAACTAGGCTACCTTGGGTCTTCTCCAGAGATCAAGGAAGCAACTGTTAGTACTGCCTCTTTTCTTGTACCCATACAATCTCTACCACAATGCTAGGTGTTGGGGGGCTGCAATTAGCAGAGTACCCAGCTCTCTTGCAGAGAAATTACTGAAACAAATATTTAGATGGGACCCTCGAGTTTTTTCATATTTTTCTTTATTTCAAAATATTTTCTGCATGTTGATGTAGAAGATAGCAGAGGGACTTCAGTGCCCAGATAGAAAGCAAAGCAGGTGATCAGTGTCATTGACCAAACATGCAAGCACAATCTTGATAATATTGCTATGGCCCCATAGCTCTTTACACATAAGTTAAGATATACAAAAAATATGTGAGGCAACCAAATACCCAAAATGAAAGTACATACATCTGGGAAATTGTTCGGATTTTCTTTTCAGTGCACAGAAGATAGTGCCAGTTCTGGGCTGTTCTCCCAGCAGGCTGTGTTCCCAGAGCATTTGGTCATGCAGTTTGGGCTGGCAGCAGCTGGGCACAACCAACTTCCTCCTACTCCTCCTTGGCAGCTGGGAATCCTGCTAGGGAGCAGAGCACAGGACATGAAAAACTGAAAAGAGCAGCATTCTCCACCTTCTCAAGCCTGAATGTACTCTAAGCTTCTTTGCCTTTTTGTCTCTTGCAGTTTGTATTTACTTGAACAAGAACGGCAGCACAGGCCCCCACTTAGATAAGAAGAAGGTCCAGCAACTCCCTGACCATTTTGGGCCGGCCCGTGCCTCTGTGGTGTTACAGCAGGCTGTCCAGGCTTGTATCGACTGTGCTTATCACCAGAAAACCGTCTTCAGCTTCCTCAAACAAGGCCACGGTGGTGAGGTTATCTCAGGTAAGCACCCTTGGGCCGGTACACCTTTTAGTCAGAGGGTAAATCTTTTCAATTGGCTGATTTCTGACAAGGCATCCTGGTTCCTACTTCACACCTGGAGTCTCTGAAGAAATGTGAAGGCATTCTTTTTCTCAAAGACTGCCCATTTTCTGCTCCAGAGACCTTCTGGGCCTTTTGTATATCTCTGCTGAGTATGATACCTACACAGACTGTACTTAAGGGACACCTGTCTTGTCTGTCTGCTTAACCTCTCCCATATAGGAAATATAGGAGTGTGCTGCTTTGAAGGCATTCCAGAAGAAATAATCCAGGGGTGGCTGAATTGTGGCATCAGGAAAGTTTCTTCTGATGACCATAACCTCTTACCTGGCTTCAGGAAACACAAAACTTTTCTCATTCATTTCATCCCTTAGCCCCAATCCTTAGCCCTGATATAGAGTTCGAAGGGTCATTTCCTCTTTCTTACCTGCTATGACTCAGCTGCACAATGTTGGGGTTTTTTCCTTATATTCACTAAGAATATTCACTTTTTTCTTCTGTGCCTTGAGCTGGCTCATTTTTCCCAAGTTCAAAGTCCTATTCTTTACCAGTGCATTAAACCTATGAATTGACCTAACCTTTCAATCTTAACTGTAGGATAGTTCATAATCCCCTGCCTCTCCTCCTTAACTAGTTGCAATATCTAGCCTCAGAAAACCCAGCTGACTTGGGAAAACCCTATAAATAACCAACTTTATTTTTTTAGCAAACACTTATGGAACCCTTACTATATGTGAGAAGTTATTGGCAGACACTAGCTGTGGGAGGGGGAGAAAAGATGACAGGCTCAGGTTCTGATATGGTAGGAAATAAAGAATATCTCACAGCTAACTGTGAGAGTGTTATAATAGAGAAATGGGTGCAGGGTGGTATGGGAGCCCAGAGGAGAGAGTAAGTGCCTGGGAGTAATTGGCTACATGGAGAGGGGACCAGGCCTGGAGATGGGGCAGATGGGGGAAGACATTATTGTGGAAAGCTAGGAACTGCATGAAATTCAGTCTTCTTTTCCTGTGTCTCCTTTGCATCTGTGTAGCATTCTGTGGGGACCTACCCTTTATCTCCTCTCTTTGGCTGCTATCACCTTCATCTCTAGGGTTCTTCCTGTGCCCCCAAATTCATTCCTAAGAGTAACCTATCTCTCCCATTTCCTTGCTACTGTCAGAGACAAATGCAGGGGACTTTTGCTTTCTAAAGATTATACAGACACTTTTTGAGTAAAAATAAATAAGAAATAAAATAAACCAAACATGATTTAGTTCCAAATGTTGCCATAATCCTAGTGCTTTGTGCACCCAAAATCATTACTGGATTGTGCAGCCAAATCATTACTGGCAATACCTATATCCTCCTCTTCTCAGATTCTCTGTTCTCGGGCAGTTCTTATGGAGATAGTACCCTAAATGAACAGATTTCCTGGAGGAGGCTAAGCCAGGCGATAGACCAGATAGAATTAGGTTCACAGTTGTTTTCACAGGTTGATTAAAATCATTCCAGAGCCCCAGGTGCAACAGACCCTCTCCCGGGCACGCCCATTATTGCAAGCCTTTTGGAGTTGGAGGCAAAAATCAAACCCTGGAGGGAGGGAGAAAGCGGGAGGGAGGAACCTGGGCAAGGACTATGTAACCAGGTAAGCCTGAGGCAAACAGTGGGCTGGATTTCTCCTGCCCAAGCGCAGTAGTACATTGCCCCGCTGACATGCTCAGCCCTGTTTACTTAACTCCACAGCCGTGTTTGACCGGGAACAGCACACCCTCAACCTCCCAGCAGTCAACAGCATCACCTACGTCCTCCGTTTCCTGGAGAAACTCTGCCACAACCTTCGCAGTGACAATCTGTTTGGCAACCAGCCCTTTACACAGACACATTTGTCACTCTCTACCACAGAGTACAGCCACAGCCACGACAGGTACCTACCAGGTAGGAGCTGGGATGGGGTCTGGAATAAAAAGGGGACAGAGCTAGTAGCAGCACCAGCAAGGGCCAAGAGGTGACCCTCAGAACTCTATTCTAGCCTGGTATCTACTACCCAGTGATCTGGTGTTCTGTCCTTCACCTTTGCCATATTGGGACTTTTTGGTCTCCTCTCATCTTTGCTTTCTCTTCAGGATTTCATTTCCTATCTCTAGGGTTAACCTTCTTTCCTCTGGATTTTTATCCCCAAGAAAAAGTGATTCACGATTCCCCTTTTGAGCTCCAAACTGCATGTGGATCTACTGTGAAGTCACAGTACATCTCCCAGTGTGAATCTGGCAGCAAAGGCCTAACAGACATCTCCTTTGCCAGCAGGAAGGTTTAGTCTCAGGCTGTAGATTGAGAAATTTACTCCCTGGTGATTGGCTATCCATTCTTTCCTTTGGCATGTGGCCCTAACTCCTCCAGCACTGCCAGTCTAGCAAGTCAATTCAAGTTCCTGCTTTTCTAACGAGGCTGGAAAATAACTTTCTTAGTTAACATATGAGACCCAGAAGGGGAAAGCGGATGCCACGTGGCCGGATCAGTGACTAAGCACTTCTGAGAGAGATTAAAGAGTGAATGGGACTCGGCATCTTTTTCTGGAGCCCAGGACACAGCACAACAGGGTGGGAACGAAAACTCGACCCTAAACATAGTGAGGTAGGTCATTGCTGAAAAGGGAGGAAGACATTTTAAGAGTTCTGTTACCTTGTCCTGGCCAGAGGAATAGAGAGGTGGTGCTCTCAGTGTTGGGCCTGTGCTGGCTATTGATTGGGTAGCATAAGCTGAAAGGTACTCCCTTCTAACTTTCTGGACAAGTCTTACTCCCACACTGCTTTCCCTGTAATCTTTTTATCATACTTCTTAGCAGAATCACCTCTGACAAAGTGCTACTCCTAGAGCATGTGCTTGGGGAAGTAACTATTCACCTACCCTATCCCACCCGCTTCTATTCTTCCAAGCCCCAATGAGCATTGTTTTTAATCACTTGCATTAAGAAACCTGAATTTCAAATACTTCTTAAGGAGGCCAGATTATCCCCTGAAGATAGGTATTTGACACACACACACCCCCCCCCAACTGATCCTTTCTTCAAAGGAATCTTCTTACCTAACCTGTTCTAGATTGCTTTCATCCAGCATCAGAATCTCTGAGGAAAGGAAAAGACCTTGGTTGTGTTTAGAATGCTGTGCTGTAAGTCTGGACTAGGCTTGATGAAGTTGGTGCAGACAAAGGGAGTTGGTTAAATATCTTCAACTTTTGGCATTCAGAGAAACTCTGAAGTAATGAAAATTATTCCTATCTGGGATTCTGGGAGAATGGATACATGAGAGGGGGTAGCATGCCCATGAGTATAGATGCTCATCTAAAGAGAGTTTTTTCAAAGAACTAGGAATTCTCAAATGAATAGTACCATTAAGAACTAAGGTTTCTCTGCAGCATGCAAAGCCCAGTAGGGGTAGATATACATCATGAGCCTGCATTTGAAGGTAGTTTGGGATTAGGGCAGGATCATTCCTGGGAATTCTGTTCCAGTTTGCATCTCTCTGGTTCACCTACCAGATAAGAGGACTCTTTAGCCACCTTTCCTTCTTGCTTTACCGACTAGAAAGAGACAAAGATCAGGGTTACCACATTCTGCCATTGGCCACCAACCTTCTCTTCCCTCATTTACAGACAGATTTAGCCAACTCTCTGCCCTCCAGTGTGCTCTAACCTCTGTTTCCCATAATGGGTACTCAGCAACTTGGCGCAACTTGGCTGTTCTCACCCTAGTTCTGTTTGCTTCCCTGAAATGTATGGTTTAAAGTGTGCCCAGACAAGCCAGAGCTTTGGCTAGAGTTCTAACTGCTCTGTGCCCTTTTACTTACCTTGCCTGCCTGCCTGCCTGCCTACATGCCTGCCCTGTTGACCCTTCACTCCACTTCTGGTCATTTATCATCACCTACACTTTTTCTGCCTACTTACCCAAACCTTTACCAAAAAGCTTGATCTCTACAAGGGCTGTCTTTTGCTTTGCCCTTCGGACCTGGTCTTTCTCACTCCCTTTGCCTGGCTACGCGCTTCAGCTAGTTTGACCTCCAGAGATACACTCAGTTACCTAGGTATTTACTGAAGCCTTCTCTTTTCCCTACAGCCCATCTCCATGCCACCCTATCCCTTAGGAGCTTGGCCTAATTAACCGTCACTTCCAATATAGCAATAGTCACCAGATGTGTATTCCAGTAGGCTTCTTCACCTAAGTTGAGACCTACACTTTTCCTTCAATGTTTTATTTGGAAAAATTATAAACCTACAGAAAAGTTGTGCAAATCTCCTAGGAACTATTTACCTCCTAATGCTATTATCACATTCAAGAAATTTAATGTAAATAAAATCTACTAACTAATATATGTAGTCCATATTCAGATTTCCCCATTTGTCCCAGCAGTTTCTTTTGTAGTTGTTATTTTATTTTTAAATCTGATATCCAGTGAATAATCACCTACTTCATTTAGTTGTCTCTCTAGTTTTTTTTTTTATCTAGAGCAGTTTTCCAACCTTCCTTTATTTTTCTAGCTTTCATGACATGGCATTGGCAATTTGATTTCTCTATTCCCTCAGTCCCTTACCACCTCCTTTTCAAGCTATGACCAGGCAACTCCAAATAATTGGGCAAAATAATTTTGTTTCTTTTTGTCTCTGCTTTCCCCTTCTAAACAGTTCCCAGGCCTTGTCTTTCATAACTGTGCCCACGGGTGCTCTGTGAATGTTTTTGGAATGAATGAGTTTCCCCCACTTCTATTCTTATTGTTCTCATGCCTGCAGTATGTCAATAGCAAATTTAATTTATGTTGGCCCTATGAGGTTAAGGGTTTTCATCTCCATTTTATAGGTGAGCAAACCTATAAAAAAAAGCAAACCTATAAAAATTCCCAAAAAAAGCAATGATCAGACTGATGATCATGCCAGAAATAAAACTCAAGTCTTCCAACCCCAACATATGAACCCTGGTCCGGTGGTTTCAAAGTTTGTTTTATTTTAGCAGAACTCTTTTTTTGTGTGTGTGGGGAGGAAAGTAAGAGTATATGAAATTGTATTTTATCATTAAAACCAGAGCTATTTTGATAGGAGCTGATGAGTTCCAGAGCCCTATTCACTTGCCCTCTCTTTGGCAGCCCCAAGGGCTCTGTGGAGCACAGCTTCAACGCACTGGTCTTATTCCTTGGCATTATTCTACTGAAGGCATCCAGGGCCTCATTTGATCAGCTTTAAACATACCAAGAGCGCATATGGCCTTGGGCACGATACTTTATTTTTCCACTTACCTCTTATTAGAGTGAGATTTAATGACCTTGCCTAGTCTTAGTATCCAGATTTTGAGACCCCTCAACTCAGAATCTAGGTCTCAGTTACCATTCTTAGCATTGCTGAAAGGAAGAGACATTCACTAATATGCATAAACATCTAGCAAGCTACTGGCATTGCCATCACAACTGTTCTTTGCCTCTATTAGCTTGTGTAAAGCAGGTGGCACTACCCCCAGTCTATGTTGAGTAAAATGAGAGCCAGAAAGGTGAGATTACCTCACTGATAAGTACAGAAACTAGAGTTCATCTAGTAATTTGTGTAATCATCTACATAAAAGAATCATCAACCCCAGATCTATACTTTTAATGACGCAGAGGACAAGGGCAAAAGCCATGGGTAGAGAAATTTGTTTCATTTGTGTATGTTTCCCTTCTTTTTTCTTCTTTCTGTGGATTAATCCAGTTTTTTAATAATTCCATTTAATAATTCCATTTAATAATTCCATTTAATAATTCCATTTAATAATTCCACTTTATTTCCTTGGTTGGTTTATTAACTGAAACTCTGTTTTCTCATTTTAGTGGTTGCTTTAGTTTATATTACAGTTTTTACCTATCACAGTCATTTATGTTAAAGCGATAATCATATCTCTCTACCTATAACAAGCTTACAACCTTACATATAGTTTAAGAGCCTTACATTTCACTTCCCAACTTCCAGTCCTTGTGTTATTATTATATATTTTACATTTAAATATATTATAAATCCTACTTTACATTGTTTTTATTTCATTTTAAATGGGTAATTCTTTTTAAATAGAAAAAAATTCTTTTATATTTGAGGTCCTTCTTGTTCATTAGAGGTCCTAAACGAATATCAAGTACTATATAAACACCGATCTGTAAAAACAACAAGGAACAGTGATAGAGCCCAGTGTCCAAGATACCCTCCATAAGCAGAGAATGCTGTGGTCAAGGCAAGGAACTGACTAGGTGCAGGTAGAACCCAATCATGAGAGGGAATCTGCTTCAGGCTCCATAGTGCAATTATTAAGGGCTGCTGCTTGGTGTTGGGCCATGACCTGAGTGTAGAAATGTCAGGATGATAGTCCCTTTACAAAAGTTTTCATAGCCATTCTCTTTTAATAATCATAAGCCCTTTGGAAGAAATGGGCTTCCCATGTTATAGATGAGGAAACAGGTCCTCAGGGAAACACCTGCCTACCTAGTGTCTGCCAAATTCTAAGCCAGCTTCTGATCTCCCTGCACACACTCTCCCCACTGTATAACCTGTGTAACCCCAGGTTCCTTGGAATATTTGTGTAAAGAAAGCAAATATGAGGGGCCTCCCTGGTGGTGCAAGGGGTTAAACACCTCACTACGAAGCAATCCACAGCATCTGCAGCACGAGTTCAATCCCTGGCTGGCCAGGGAGCAACCCACATGGCACAGCAGACCTCTCCTGACTCACCTGCTGCTCCCCTCATCAGTGTATTTCATTCAGTCTTCCTGTTCTGTTCCCCACTCTGTCTCTGGTGAATCCTCTCACCTCCCACACCTCTGGCCTGTACCCCAGCTCTTATATGCATAAATAAATAAAACTTTAAAAAAAAAAAAAAACTACCCAAAGGTTAAAAAAAAAAAAAGGCAAATATGAAAGGATGGAGGGAATATAAAAGCATATCCTTTGTAGACAAGGCATCAAGAGCATTTCTCAGATGTCCTGCTGGCTGCATAGTTGGTCAGTTTCTAAAGCACCCTCCTCTGAGCAAATATCTCTTATTTTTAGCACCCCTACTCCTTGCTCTTGCGTTTTGTATGTAAAGCTGTCTCTTCCATCCTAGATTTCTCTATTTTTTTTAAGGTCCTTATTATCCAGAAAAAAAAAAGATACCCAAAACAAAAGAAATCTCAAAGACTATCTAGTCTAGAGTGATATTGGAACATGACTATGGTCACCTAATGAGAGCCAGACCTTTAATAGGTACACAGACCTCCTGAAAGCCCAGGGCTGTCAGTTTTGCTGCTTTCTAGCTCCACCCAAACAGGTACCTTTGAGCCAGCACTTTGGAAGTCCTCCTAGGCTAAACCCTGCTTTAAACCCTGTTTTCTAGGTGAAACGTTTGTCCTCGGAAATAGTCTGGTCCGGTCCTTGGAGCCACACTCAGACTCAATGGACTCTACCTTGAATCCCACCAACCTTGTTAGCACCTCTCAAAATCTTCGAACCTCTGGGTACAGGCCTTTGCTCTCCTCCTGTGGCCTCCCACTTAGCTCTGCTTCAGCTGTGCGCAGGCTGTGCTCCAGGGGTAAGTTTACCAAAGTTGTGGCCCTCTTGCCGTCATTCACTCTTTCCTTCCCTTCTTTTCTGAGCCCTGAGAGATCAGAAAGGGCTTAGCTGTGTTGCCTGGTGTTCATCTGGGGTCTGAGCTTATCATTGTGCATTTGGTACCTGGGAGGTAACTGAAGCTTTCAAGTCAGTGGGACAGAGAAATTCATTTATTCATTCATCATTAACCATTATTTAAACACCATCTGTTTGATAAGGGGGTGCACAATCAATCACTTTTTTTCCTTTAAGGAACACACAGTCTTGTGGGAGAGACAAACACTTAAACATTGCAAAACATTATTTTGAGTGAAGTTACACAGGTATGCTGTGGGTAATATGAAAACTGAAAGGGAACCCTAGCCCAAACTTGGTGTCCAGGATAAGATTCCTTGTGTAAGTGGCACCTTACCTGAGACTCTAATGAAGGGTGACTCTAATGAACGGCCATTTCAGGGGTAGGAGGGGAGGGAGAGCTGTTTAAGAAGAGAATACAGCATCAGGCACAGGAATAAGAAAACAAAGGCACAGGAATAAGAAATAATACACATTGAACCAGAAACTGCATGCAGTTTGGTATAACTGAGATATAAAATGTAATACTGGAAATTCAAAGAGAAAAGCTTGGGGAAAAAATGGAGATAAATTCAAATCTATGTCTGTGATTAAGAGGTAGGAAGGAAATGGGATTATATAAATTTTAGGGACCAGAACTAATAACAAAGGAACTAGATTTTATTGACTGAAAAGCAGCTTAGGGACAAAGAAATGTGGTCTTGGCTGAAGTTCATTGACTAGTTAGAGGGTAGTTCCTATGTGAAGACATATGAAGGGATTTTCCTTCAGATCACTGGAGGTCTGAATTTCCATTGGTGGGCTACCTGCCTCTGGTTAGTCCCCTCTGCATTTTTTTTTAAAGATTTATTTATTTATTTATACAAGCACTGGGTAAGTAGAGCCAGAGCGGGGAGCAGAGCAGGCAGAAGGACCAAAGTACACTGCTGAGGGGAGCAGCAGGCGGCAGGAGAGGTCTGCGGGCCATGTGGGACCCGCCTCCGGTGGCCGGGGAGCAGCCAAAGATGGAACCGGCACCGCAGAGGCTTCGGGCATCTTTGCAGCCCAGCACTCAACCGCTGCACCACCAGGGAGGCCCCCCCCCCCCCCCCCCCCCCCCCCGCCTTTTCATTTTCATACTTGCAGCTATTGTCAGCCTTGGAGCTCAGCTCAAGGTTAGTTGCTTCTACTTTACTCAGGCAGGGTCATTCCTGATAAGATCTAGGCTTTGCTGTGAAAAGCAAACCTCAAACGGAAAGTTAGATAAGTTTTTTTTTCTGTCTTGGTACTTCAGGGTCTTAAAGCAATTTGACCATTTAGCTTCAGTTTCAGTGAGAGTCCCTTAAGGGCTGTTTAAGGTAGTGCCCAATTACAAGGATGGGAAATAATATGCTAGAATCTCTTCCTTAAGGAACAGGGACTGGGGCAAACAAAGTATGCTTCAACATTTAGACCTGGGATCCAGAATGAAAGAAAATGGAAGATTTTAGCTTGGCAAGAGATTGTTGAAGAGTAGGTTCCTACTACTTTCACACGTGTTTCAGCTCAGAAGTCCCCATTTGGGACTTTGTGACTGAGCATCTCTGAGGTACTGAGTATATAGACAAGAGCAAGGTAAAATCACTGCCTCAAGACAGAGTCTAGCTGGGGAGTAAAAGTACTCAATTCACAAATAATCATTATATATGGTCATTCATTCATTTAAGCAACATGTTTGACATCACTGCAATAAACCAGGTATTTTTTGATGAGCTAGGAAAACACTCTTCTCCTTTGTGTTTCCATACTTTCAACACTGTATTCATCATCAGTATTGATACCTGATGTGTGGGTTTTCCACACACCAGCTGAGGTCCATATGGTCCATATTCTCTTTAAGAAGTGGCCTCTTGTGGCCACAGTCCCCATTCCCTTCTTCTTCAGAATCCTCAAATATGACTAAATTTAACTTGTGAATAGTTTTCAAATTTATTCTCTCTTTATAAAACTTCCTTTATATACTCTACCCTTTCCTGCCTTGCTCTGTCTTGTCCTACTAAACTATTCCATAACTCTTTTCCCACACCACACCTAGCTTTCTCCCACTGTATCAATTTAACTCACTTCTCACACTCCCTTCCTGGGGAGAGCATCAGTTAAGAGTTCAGTCCTACAAGACTGCCCACCTGGACCCGACCTCAGAGGCGAATTGTAAGTCCAGGTGTTTTCCTGGACTTCTGACTGAAATTGGAAGTTTTCATCATACCCTCCTTGGGTTTGCTTAGTTTGCTAGATTCACTCACAGAACTCAATAATACATTAGTTAATAAACAGTATTTTTTATTTTTAATAAAAACACAACTCATGAATAGCCAGGTGGAAAATAGATTACTAGGGAGATGTGGTAGAGAAATTGTATAGAAATTGGGTTGTGAACAAGAGATATACAAAATGCTTTGTGAGACCAGTTCTTTCAAGATTAGACAAAAAAAAAAAAAAAGTTTCATAAAGGAGCTGATCCTTACAGCCATCTCTTGCTTAGCTAAGTTGGAATTAACCAGTAGAAAAGGAAAAATTGAAGGGAAAGAAGGGGTCACACTCCGGGCAGAGCAGATAAAACACATCAGAGACCTGCGCCGGATGATGCTCAGAATATATCCCAAATCCCACTAGGGAAATGGGAGGAGCTATTTTTAAGCCCAAAAATTTAGATTAAAAAAAAAAGAAACGCTAAATTAACATTAAGAGTCCTGACAGCTATGGCAAAGTTGTTTTCTCCCTCCATGTGTTAGGCTGTAGCGAGTTTGGCTATTCTCCAGGCCAGGAAGAGGCCTGGGGTATTATCCATCATTTATTTCTTCCCTAGACCCGAAGGATTTGACTTTAATCTTGCCCAGCTACTGATGGCTCTCCAGAAATGGCCCCCTAGCCAAGGCAAAAGCAGCCTCACCCACCAGAACCCTCCAAGTAATCACCTTACCTCATTGTTACCCTGACTCATCCCGGCTGAATCACAGCCTCTATGTAAAATTCCTTCTGACCATTCCAAAATCAGGTCTACCCTTAAAGAGCAAAGAGTTGACTTAAAAAAGTATCTTGGGTCCTTTGTGGAAAAAGCTTCTCTCTATCAGCTGCTTACACTTCCTTTGCTCATGCTCATGCAATGAGCCTCACTCATAGGGCCATCAGGACATGCCAGGAACAGTGGTGAGGAATTATAGACCAGTCCCCACCCATTATGGCAGGTGTCCTCCTATCCTGCAGGGTCGGACCGATACCTGGAAAGCCGGGACGCCTCTCGACTGAATGGCCGGGACCCCTCCTCATGGACTGTCGAGGATGTGATGCAGTTTGTTCGGGAAGCTGATCCTCAGCTTGGGCCCCACGCTGACCTCTTTCGCAAACACGTAGGTGTCCCTACCTACCTTTCCTGTTTCTGCAGCTCGTAGACTTTTGAAGGCCAGGGGCTTTATATTTGTTCCAGGTCCGTTCAAACAGAGCAAAAGAAACATAGAACTTAGAAATCCTGCGTCTCAAACAGACCTCATTGGGCACTGAGTTCAACTTACTCCTTTGGTGTAGGATCTAATTCAGTCACTTGCCTTCAGGGTAGGTGGCCTGTGGGTGCAATGACAGGGACAAGGGTCTCCTCTTTGCCTAGGAGTACTTGTTCTCCCATCTGCCTGCCTGGCCTGAGAATCAAGGACCCTCAAGCCCAAGTTGAAGAGTCTCTTGACAAGTGAACCCCAATCTCTACCTCATCAGCCTCCATCCTCTACTTGCCCCTCTACAAACCTCCAGCATCTCTTCAAGTGACCATTTGGCTCTCTGATCAGAGACAACTCCTGATCCCCCTGTATTTGGGCCTCAAACTGACTTTCCGATACCCATTACTGCTTGTTGCTGTTCTGCCTTTTGGGCATTCAGAATAGATCTGTTTCCCTTCATTGATCATTTCAGTCTTGCATGCTAGTTAGGTTTGGAGTGTGCTCTTAGACCAGGCCTGAAGGTCTCACAGCTGCTCACTCAGTGCCTGCCCTGTGCAAAACTCAAGGCCCCTGCCTTCCTCAGGGAGGAAGATGCCTCACAGAGTAACAATTGCGGGTCAATATAAAAATAGCCGGTGACGTTAAGTCTCAACACTATGAAGCTATCTGCAGGCACTGCAGCACAAGTTTGATCCCCAGCCAGGGAGCAAACACACATGGTGCAGCAGACCACTCCTGCCTCGCCTGCTGCTGCCCTCAGCAGTGTATCTCAGTAGATCTGCCAGTTTTGCTCCCCACTTTGTCTGATGAATCCTCTCACTCCCTGCACCTCTGGCCTGCACCCCAGCTCTTGTATGCATAAATAAATCTTTTTTAAAAAAAAAAAAAACAGCCTGTGATAAGCATACTGGCTGGGGAGGCTTCCTAAAAGATGGAATCGAGCTGGATCTCAGAAGTTTGGGAGGGTGGGGAAACTGCCTCTCAGGCAGCAGAGAAAGGAAAATGGTATATATGTGATGAACTTAACCTTTTGGGTTCAGTGATAGATACTTGGGGGCAGGAATGGTTAGAGACAAAAGGTAGGGACAACAGGTCGGCTTTAGTGTCATAGCAGGTTTACTGGACTGTGTGTGGCTGGATGGCAGTTACTTCCCTGGGTGTCCTCTAGTCAGAACCTGCTTGGGTCAGACCAACTAGGCCCCTAATGGTGCTTCCTCTCATTCCCCAGGAGATCGACGGCAAGGCTCTGCTTCTGCTTCGCAGCGACATGATGATGAAGTACATGGGTCTGAAGCTGGGGCCTGCACTCAAGCTCTCCTACCACATTGACCGACTGAAGCAGGGCAAGTTCTGAATGGGAGACACAGCCTAGATGACTGAGGGGTGGAGCAGATGGGGGCATTCTTCTCCCAGGAAGAAGGGTCATCAGTCACTCCTGGGTACATCAGTGGGGTTCAGGGCTGTCTCAGGACTCCAGGAGGCTGTGAGGAGCCACCACAGCTAGCCCCTCCTGCTATGATATGTCCTTCCATGAAGGACTGAGGAGGGGAGTGTGGGCCCAGGGCTGGCACTGTTGTTCCCCTCAGCCCTGCTCAATCCTGAGGTGCCATATTTATTTCTCAAGCCTGGTCAGCCTCTCACCAGGAATTTAAACTGAACATCTTCCTAGTGATAGAGGAAGGGGCCAACCCCTGAGGCTTCAGAAGAGGGGAGCCTAAATGAATCATTATGCTGAGTCCCCCATCACTGCTGGGTCTACTGTGGCACCCCAGTACCCTACAGCTCTGCCGTTTCCTCACAAGATTTCTAAACTCCAAATTCATGGTGCAGACCTCTACCTTTTTTTAAAAAGATCTTTTCTTATTAATTTATTATTTCTGGCACTTGGGCAAGCCCTCAAGTTCATGCTCCTCTCACTTCAGACCCTGGATTCCAGGAGGAGCGAGATCGCCCTGCCATGGTCCCAGAGAGGCTCAGCCCCTTTTTGGAGGACATTATCCTCAGGCTCTTTCTCATTGGGATGGGCAGACCTAGAACACCTGAGTACATCACTCAGCACAGACATGACAGAGTCCCCGTCTTCCCCTCTCTACGTCCACTGGGCCCTGTGCAACCCAGACCTCATCTGTGGGAATGGGAGTCTCCTGCCTGCACTGTCCCACAATAATAACTCGTGCCCTGGCTAGAACTTCTGAGGATAAGGTTGGACCCAGTGATTTTAGGCCAGTATGGCCCTAAGTGGGTGATGGGAGGGGTCTCTAGGCTGGAGTCTGGTTGTACCCACTCCACTGTCCATATGCTTCCTTTGTAAGCATGTCAGCAGTACAGCTGCCCCTGCTGCCATCTGGACTTATTTTATGTCTATTTGTTTATAAATAAAATACAATATAGATGCAAGTGTTTTTTTTAATCACTTGACAGCCCAGTCACTATGCCTCCAACAGGCAGGTGAGTCCCCTTCTCTTCATCTTAGTTTTCTCCTTATTAAAATGAGCATGGACAAGATAACCCTAAGATTTCTAATTCTGCAATCCCTAAACAGAAGACTGTTTGTCAAATGCTCAGTGGGGGCCCCAGCATCATGTAGCTCCCTGGGAAGATACTGTGTGAGTTCATTCTCTGCCCTCAAAGGGCTTTACTCTGGGACAGCCAGGCAGCAGAACGCACAGATGTGCAAAGTCTGAGCAGAAGAACAGTTCCAGGGGTCAGCCACTCCAGGGAACATCCATGGCTGGGTTCCTCCTCATCCACATGGGGTCAGGGGAGGCGCAGGCTGGCCCAGGTTGCAGGGGAACCCTTGTACACACAGGGGGCGGGTACTCCTGTCCAGGGCCACGCATTCCTGTTTCTGATGGGGTCACAGAAGGAGAAAGTGCCAGGATCATAGCACAGTGCAGTGTAACCTGATAATAATTCGTACTTTTATATTACATAAACAGAATATAAAAAAGCTATGTACCTTTTATATTACATAAAAGTAATACTATTACATAAAGTAATACTATTACCTAAAAGTAAGTGTACATAGATGAGAATTATTCCCCTTTCATCTTTACAACAAACCCATTATTTATTTATTAGTTTGTTTGTTTGTTTTTGTGGAGCCCTCGCCGGTGGCCAGGGAACGAACCGGCGCTGCAGAGGCTGCGGGCAGCCTCTCAGCTCAGCGCTCAACCGCTGTGCCACCAGGGGAGGCCCAACAAACCCATTTTTTAGATGAAGAAACTTAGGCTCAGATCACTTAGCCAGGAAGTGCCAAAGTAGATGTTTGAAGTCAAAAATCTGACTACAGGGCCAAAGCCAGGGTTCCAGCTCTTTGCTGTAACACTCTGAGTGGGTCATTTTCCTCTTTGGGGTCCATCTGGCTTTGATGGGTTTGGATGAGGAGACATATGAGCACTCCTACCAGCTGTCACCACTGACTAGTCCAGACATCATGACTAACATTTGTCTCTTCCCCTTGGCCAGTGTGGGGTTCTAACCAGGTTCCTGTGAAGCAGTCACGGGTCAGGGCTGCTAAAGTAGAATAAGCCCCTGGTTTCCACAGACTCTTGGGCATTAAGGTCTGGTAGGCCATGCTGTTTATTCAGGGTATTTCCAAAGAGGGCCTTACTGCACCCTGCTGATGAACTTAGCGATGTGACCCTTCCCCAAGAGACTGAAGGTAACAGCAGCATATGTCATTTAAATCTCACTACAGGCCTGGTGGATAACTGCTGTGTTCTCCAATTTTACAGGTGGGAAAACTAAAGCTAGAGAGGTTAAGGCACTTCCCCCAAACTCCATAAATAATGAGGGGTGCAGTCCATCACACTATCCACAATACCCACCAGGGAGCCCTTGACATAGATCCTACTAACCACTCAGATTGAGACTCCCACAGGCATTCACTTTGAAGGCTAAAACAGCAGGCCTGGCATGAGGCACTCTTCTTCAGTAGGGTGGTCCTCACAGGGCCCATAGTCAGCCAAGAGCTGCTGTTCTCCTTGGCTACCCAGGTACAAGAGAATGTGACATATCAGGAAGAAGTAGGGTTTACCTTGACTTTGGAAACATCGTGGCCCAGGGAAGCCGATAATTCCCTAGTTCCACAGGATCCCTGCAGGGCACATGCCCAGTTAAGTTGCTGTGCCCAGGAAGCCCAAAGCTGTGGCTTTTGAGCAGATATTTACAGTTCATATATAGAACTCCAGTCCATATGACCTATAGTTAGGGGTCATTTTTGCCATAAGTAATGTTGCCTTGAAACAGTTGACATTCCATTTTTATCTAATTTCCAAAGTCTGAGAATTAGAAAAGTAAACCAATGTCAAATTCTACAGGAGAGGGGATTTGTGATCCCTTTATTCATGCTGCCCTAACCTTTGGGGTCACAATCGAATAAAACAAAAGAAAATCCTCAATTTTTGAAGTTGTTTCACAAAATCAAGCCTTCTGATAGTGACCCAGCATCACCCAAAGAAACTGAAGTGGCCTCTATAGGCCCATGCACACGTGCTTCAGGGCAGGTGAGACCAGGCTGCTGACACAAGCAGTCCAGCCACCCACAAAATGGGAGGGGTAGGACACGCAGGGTAGGGCCAGAGGCCTCTGGGCACCAGCTTCACACACCCACTGTCAGTGCTGTGACAGAGAGGACATCAACTCCAGTGTCAAGGAACTTCAGAATTGAAAACCCAGGTGCTTCAGGAGATTTGATAGAGGCCAGGGTCCACTTAGGGCTGAACCTTGGGGACCCCTCTGTCCTCTCCCCAGGCCCTTCCTGCCTGCCACGCAGCCATTTTACCTCTCTGCTCTGTCTCCGCTTTCCCGAGCAGTGTCCACAGCTCTCCTCAGCATCTCTGTGGAAGTCCCTGAGGTCGCTCTCTGGGATGTGGCCTGGTGGACACAGTTGCCAAGTGGACACATGGTTTCTACCCTCAGGCCGGATACCACAATCCCTCCTCAGGAAGAGCCAGAAAGTGACTCACCCTTCCTCCTTGAGACAAAAGAAAAACATGGAAAACCTTCTTGCCTGGGAGAGTGCAGGTACTCCTGGCCTTACTGTCTTCCCTCGACTTTTTGCAGCCTCTTTACCCTAATGCTCTCCAAGTCACTACATCAGGGAAGCTCCACAACTGCAGCCCAGGACAGTCACCCGAAAGCTGCTGCAGATGCTTCCAGGAGCCAGCAGCCAACAGGTCCAGCGTACACACTGCATTCCAGATGCCCTGTGGGTGGCAGGGGGCTGGCCCCATCCAAGGACAGCCAAGAGCCTGCAGGCAGTCACGGTGTGCAGGGGGCGCTCAAGGCAGGCTGAAGTGATAGGGGCCCAGTGGCAAAGCCTGTGTCCTCCCCACTTCTCCCCTGAGTTCAGTCCACTCTTGACATCCTTGCTTTCCCAACACAGCAGCTGAGCTTGTCCCCACCCACACGCTGCCCTCACCCTCTGCCCCTTCTCCAGCCCTCCTGGGCAGTTAGTGCCTATCCCATCACTGAGGTGGTGGGAGCCACCCAGGGGACACTCCAGTTTTCAACTCAAAAAGCCCTTTCTCAGCTCCCTCATGGCCTTCTCTTTGGGCCAACTCCCATTTTTAACTAAATCCAGGAGTTTTTCTCCAGTGCCAGGTGGGGTTTGTCAGTAAGATCGCAGACATCCAGCAAGAGGATTGAAAGGGGTTGCTTGTCCCACAACAATGAGCTCTCATCTGCCACTGCCTGCAGAGCACCATCAATACTGTTAGAAAGCCTAACATCCTATTTCAGTATTTAATATATTATGTATTTAGTGCTTACAATAAAAGACGAATTTTGCCTCCTGAACAAAAGAAATGGAACTAAAATTGTTGAAGATTACAGGGAAATATGTGACCCAGTAGTTTAAAGAGGTTTCCAGTAAGCCTGGGGACAGTTTTGGCTCTCAAACCAGTTTGGAAAATTTCACGCAGAGCAGCTGCCTGATAGCAAGGCCTCCAGAGAAGCAGGGAGAAGGCCCTGGTTGTGTTCACAAGTTTCATCTGTCAGGCACCTCTCCTGGCCAGCTGTCTATTTCTGCACCACTCAGCATGACTCCTTTTAATCAGCTGAGACAGCTACACTGCTGCTGCTGCTGAAGTCAGAGTCTAGAAGGGCCTGAGGAAGGGGGAGGCAGGGAGGTGTAGAGCCGGACCTCTCAGAGCTGTAGCTACAGTGACGGGCAGGTAGGGGCCACCAGACAGGCTCTCCCCCGGCCACTGCCACTTGGGACCTGGGGCCTCTTCCTTGGCTTCACTTTTTTTTTTTTTTTTTGGTCTTTTTCTCACATAATCTTCCTCAAATTCCCCAACCAAGCTTCTGCCTCAGTCCTTTAGGGAAAGAAAAATTCAGTAAATCATCAGGATGGCTGCTCAGGGAAGGGAGGCAGCCTTGTCTGCCCTGCCTGACAGAGTCCCCCATCTGAAGCATCTGCTTTTGGATTCCACCTCTCCAACCCACAAATTAGGAGTTCCAGAAGCAGTATGGGAAATTGCTGCCTTATATTTGTATAATGAAACACACTTACCAAAGCCCATGTGTATACTGACCCATCTTGGGAATAGCTGGGTCCCCTATCAGTGCCCAGTGGAGCCTGGAATTGATGACTACAGCTTCTATGTGGCACCAGGCACTGCTTGGGCACTGGGCCTATTGAAACTTAGGGAGGAAGTGTTTTCAGCTCCTGAATTCTAGGGAATAAGGAGATTTCCTGTTTGGTTTCCCTACTCTGCCTGCCTGAGGCTGGCTGAGAAGGCATTGTTGGCCTTGGTGAGATCACAGAGGTAGTTGCATAGGCCCCACCCACTTCCTACAGCCCTGGTTCTCACTGCCCCCTGCCGAGCCCCCAGCTGCCCTCTGGAGCTGCTGGCCAGTGGTCAGGGGGCTCTGGGAACTCAGGGATGGCAACTCCCACGTTCCAGGAACCATCAGGACATGAGGGTCACAGGCCTCCCTTTCCCTTCTATCCCTGTTTGCCCTGAAGGACCCATTCTGAAAAGATGCAGGTCCATGGTACCTGCCTTAGAAACCAGAGGCTGGGTGTGTGGGGGTGAGTAGAGGGGCTGCGTGTGTGCCAATGTGCACAGCTCAGAAGTGAAGCCTAGTGCCTGGTGGGGACTGGGATGCTGTTCACAGGGGCTCAGCTCTGTCCCTCAGTCTAACCCTCCTCACTTCTCTCTGGACCGAAAAACAGAGGACTCAGGCTAGACTAGGAGTTCTTACTGAGTGTGGGGTACAGCCCAAATTATATGTACATGTGCAAAGGCCTTTCTTGTGGGGAGGGGCCATAGCTTTCATCAGTTTGCCCAAAGTCTAAGCGCCTCTGCCCCAGCCCTCTGATCCAACCCTGACTGTTCCAGAGAGCCTGCTAGACTCCCACCAGGAAAGAGGAAGCAGCAGTAGGGCTGCAGCCAGTCCTCAGGGTCCCAGAGGAAGGTGGCTCCTGCAAAGACCACTCTGAAGTTTTCTTTTGGTGGCAGAGAAGCTGCCATCTCTGGTTGGTGGGAAGCCCTAAGGCCCTGAGTCTGGGGACAGAACGGGAAGAATGGGACCCCTAGGGTCAATCAAAGGACATAGTGGGCCTCAGAGGCCTGACTCCTGGTCCCCTCTCCCCTCTGTGGGCATGTCCCCTCAGTCTGCCTTTCTGTGGGAGGAGGGGCAGGCCCATATGCTCTGTTCTCTGGCTCAGCCCTGACTCTCCTCTTCCCTGTCCTAGGCCTTGGGTGGGTGGCAGGCCCCTTCCTGCTGGCCCTCTGGTGCCCCTCTCTCTCTCTCTGGCCCTGCCCCACCCCTGCCAATCTGTGAACCTCCCAGGAGCCTTGGTACCCTGTGAGTCCCCTGGGAGACCCTGGGCCAAACTGAGAGCCCAGGACCCTGGGAGGAGCAGCCAGCTGTAAGGCGTCATGGAATCCCTTCCAAGGGAGACCCCTCCAGAGACCCCCAGGAAGACATCATCACAAGCACAGGTGCAGGAACCCCTCATGGACCCAGACAAGCAGCCCCTGCAGATGCTCCCTCCGGATGAGTCCCTGCCTGAAGACTCTGGCCTCCAGGAGTCTTCCGGCATATATACTCTCTATGTGGGTCACCTGAACCCCCAGTTCTCAGTTCCCGTGCTTGCCTGCTTGCTGCGGGACACCCTGGAGCGGCTGGACCTGCGGGTGACACGGGAGCACATCGAGGTGGTGAAGCGGCCTGGGAAGGCCTATGCACTGGTGCAGGTGACCACCCACAAGGAGACCCTGGCCGCCCTGACCTGGCGCCTGAATTTGGCCCTGGAGGAGCACCAGATCCTCAAGGAGCTGGTGGCCCGCGGGAAGGAGCTGGTGTTGAGTGAGAGCCGTAGGCCGTTCAACCGCAGGGAGGTGAGTGAGACTTGCCCTAAGTCATCAGGTTTGCCAGCCCCAGAGCCTCATCCAGGTGAGAGGCCTCGGTGTGGATGGCGTGTGTTGAGTGATGGGAGCAGGGAGGCCTTGAGGAATGGGGACAAGTCTACAAATCGGAGGCTGCATGACCTGATGCTGGTACAGCCAGCTTTCTCCCAGAGGGACACCCACCAGAACAGCCAGTTTGTCTCCAACCTGAAAATACATGAAGATGAAGAAAGGCCAAAGTGTAGTGTCCCTGAGTCCTTTTGTATTTCAGCCTCAGCCTAGCCGGCCCAAGCCTTAGGATCCATAGCAGTCCGATTCTTTCCTCGGACCACCTCATTCACTCAATGGATAAGCAGTGGTGTCCACTCTGTGCCAGGAAGTAAAGCAAAATGCAGATGCTTGGCCCTGGACTCAAAGCACTCTCATCTATGAGCAGAGCCAGCCAGCCAGTCAGAAAGCTGCAAGGAGGGTGCATAGGAGGGGACAGAGCCACAAGGAAGTAAAATCGAGGCTGGGGCTTGGGGATTGGGAAATTCTGGAAGAGTACTTCCAAACAGAAGCACAGGACACTAACAGAACAGGGTGGTTGTCGGGAGTGTTGCATTTGCAGAAGGGCAAGCCATTTGCTATCCCCGAGCTCAGCTGAAGGCTGCAGGGGAGCACTCTGGCCCTGAGAGCAGGGGCCAAGTCACCAAGGGCTATGACACCAAAGCAGAGGGACTGAGGTCGTTTTGTAGTGTACAGGCAGCTGGCTGAGGTCATGCCATGAGACTGGTGATTTGGTTTTTCTTTTCTCTTAGAGTGAATGTTTCATGGTATTACTTGTTACAGCACTTAACAGCTCTGTGACTTACATTTCAAGACCTATGAGCCTGATTGCATTTTTGCATGACAGTTTCTCGTTTTCTGATACATTGGTCTCTGGGCTAGAAGGGATGTGCCCTGCATGACCACGTCCTGGCCCACACAGAGCCCCCAGCCCCTGGACACCACTTCGAGAGACTGGGAGGGGGCAGGGAGACAGGGAAGAAGGGTTTTACGGGAAAAATGTGACTTGCATCTAAGGTCAGCAAGATAAGGGATCAGGATGAGGTGTCCAGGGAGGGGATGCCAGAGGTGGCTCACAGGGAAGTGGCAGTAAGGGCATTCGTGCCCAGAGCTCTTGATCAGTGTGGAAACCCTGGGAGGGGACTTGGGACCACTGGTCAGCGGGCCAGAAAGCAATAGGTTAGGCTTTGGGGAGATCAGGGAGTGAGTGGTAGGTCTCTGGGAGCCCCTCTCAGTTGAGAGTCCTGCACATGTGTCACAGGGACCAGACCATCTCCTGGAATGATCTGGTTCTGTGCCTCGGAGGTCCATCCACAGCCCAAGTGGGGAGAGGTTGGCCCACAGGTATCCCAGTTCTCAGCTCTGGGAAGGAGTGTTCCTTACCCACCACCCAGCCCACAGTCCACCTTGGAAGAGAGCAGCCCAGCACAGGAACAGGAGCTGGTTTGAACCCTGATCCAGCAGGGTTTCCCACATGGCACAGCAGGCAGAATTAAACCCCTTTGCTTAGGGATCTGTCCTGAGGGGCATCAGGATACGCAAGTGGGCTGGGCCCCGTGTGGGGAAGATGGAGTTCTGACAGTCTGCCCTTCACTGGTGAGGTCAGGGCTCCCCACTCTAGTATGGGTCCATACACCCCACTCTTGACCCCTACCCCGGCAGGAGGACGACAATGGCCTGAGCCCCACCCCTGATCTCAACTCTGGTCCGGGCTGCCGCCCCAGACCTAGCCTCAGACAGGGCTCCGGCCGTCAGCCAGCTGAGCTCGCCCACACCTCACCTGTCTGGGTCCACGCCCCGCAATGGCGGCCCTCCCAGGGACGGCCCAGCGGGACACGCTCAGACAGCGACATCGTGAACCAGGAGATCCTGGGCCAGGAGCGGCTCTTCCAAGGCTCCTTCCTGGGCAGCGAGACACGCAACGTGGAGTTCAAGCGGGGCAGCGGCGAGTACCTGAACCTGACCTTCAAGCACCATGTGCGGCGCTACGTGTGCGCCTTCCTCAACAGTGAGGGCGGCAGCCTGTTCGTGGGAGTCGAGGACAATGGCCTGGTACAGGGCACCCGCTGTAGCCACCGCGGTGAGGACCGTGTGCGCCTGCTGGTGGACTCTGTCCTGCAGGGCTTCAAGCCCCAAGTCTTCCCCAATGCCTACACGCTCAGCTTCATCCCCGTGGTCAGCACCACCATGACCAGCACCCCCCTCAAGGTGAGCTGGGGACAGGAAGGACTCTGTCTCATCTTCACTGCACAAGTGACCGTTCACATCTATGCTGCTGAGCAGAGCTGGGGCTGGGTGGGGGTGGTGGCGAAAGGGAGTTGGGGAAGGAAGTGACTAAAGAGGCTAGAAGCAGGCCTGCCCCCAACCCAGCCAGGCTGTCCCCCAGGAGCCAGCGAGTCATAAGGAGTCAGCAAGGTGGGTGGGTGGCACACTGTCAAGTGCAGAGGCTGCCAAGAGCTGCTGTTGCCCTTACCAAGGTGATCCGTCTGAGCGTGCGTGTCCCCAAGGCCCAAGCCGAGCCACGGCTCTACGAGACAGACCAGGGGGAGGTGTTCCTGCGGCGTGATGGGAGCACCCAGGGCCCGCTGTCCATCCACGACATCCAGGAGTGGTGCAGGCAGGTAAGTGGCCAAGGCCATGGTGGGCAGCGTAGAACCCCTCCAGCCACTCACTGAGCTGTCCTGTCAGGTTTCTTCAGTGCGCCATAGCCCATGAGGACACTGGGGGGCTGGATTGAAATACCCCACCACATCCAATATTCTACTGCTGTGGTGCTGGGGAAGCAGGGGCAGTAATATCAAGAAATTGCAAGACAACCCCGAGGGCTGTGTGCTGCATTTGAGGGGGAGGAGGCTCTCTAAGGCAGGCAGTGAGTCCTGGACACGGTGCCAAGGAAAAACCTTTCAAGAGGGAAACATCCACTGCCAGAGAGCAGAGGAGAGCAAGTGGCTGAGGGAGAGAAGAGCATGCCCCAGGGCTGTCAACCTGAGCCCACCCCTGCCACAGGAGGTGGCCAGAGGAAGGGCCATCCCAGAGTCTGGGATGCTGGCTGGACCCTGAGGTCAGGCAGCTCCCCTAAAGCCCCAGGCTGATGTGGTCAGGAGTGGCAGCACCATGAGGGGACCTGTTTTCCCCACCTAACAGGGACGTTATATTGCCCGTGGCCTTGAGTAGGCCACCAGGGGTCTGCACCATGCCATCTCCCATCAGTCAACCCCAGGCAGCGGGCACACTGGCCTGAGACCACAGTCTGCTCAGACCTGGGCTTCTACCATGTCCCCTCAGAAGTGGATGGCAGAGCTGAGCAAGCTGGAGACGAAGGTGAAGGCACTGACGATGGAGAAGGAAAAGCTCGAGCAACAGCTGCAGTTACACAGGCCCCGCTCCTGCTTCTGCTGCGTCCTGTGAGGCAGCAGCAACACGTGGGCTCCAGCAAGTAAGGGCAGGGCCACAGAAGCCAGCCCCCCATCTGGGACAGGCTTCCCATAAACCTGGCTGGGCCACTCAGAGGTGACGGGATCCACGCTTCCTATTTCCTTCAAAACTGCACTCATGGCTGGTCCCCATGTGGCTTAATCCTTATCTGGTCTGTGTTGCTAAGAAATTGTTCTTAGCTGGATCATCAAGGAAGCTTACTTTCAGAAAACTTGCAAAAACTTGGTCAGAGCTAGGCTAAGGATACAGTCAGGAACTGGCCATCTCCCTAAAATGTTCATTTTTCCCAGGCTGAGGTCTCAGACCAGTTGACTAGATGGGCAGAGTTTGTGATCTTGGGGAAGCACCTCTCCAGATGGCAAAGCACATCCCATATACTGGCTAGCAGGGCACACAGACCCCCAGCAGGCCCTGGCTTGTGGGAAATTGCTCATCACAGCTGTTAAGTACATTACACACTCTGGGCTACAATGGCTAGGACACTGGTCGGCAGGTTGGATGCAGCTGGGTCATGAGTCCCATCCTCATCCTCAGCCCAACTCTGTGCAGGAGACCGAGCCAGTCCTGGGTGCCTACCACATGGAGCTGCTGGGGAAGGAGACCAGACAGTCCAGTCCCGCTCTGCCTTAAAGGGCAGTTCAAGGTACTAAGAAACAAACTGCTATACTACTTCACCTATAAGATAGTGACAGTGGCCAGAACAGGGCATGCTGATAACATCAGGGTGATGCCCTGTCTCTCCAACACCTACCAGCACTTGCCCAGAAAGGGTGTGACTTCCATTCCATGCACCCTGCAGCCACTGGAGAGGATTCCTATTCTAGCCAATTCCCCCACCATGTCCACCAGCAGAGCCACTCTATAAAGCCAATGTCTGATCATGCCTGGGCTCAGAGGCCTCCATGAGCTCCCCACTCCATCAAAAACAAAGCCTGAATAACGGTCTGCATGATTCTCCTCTTGGCCCACTGACAACTCCTCTTCCTGCTCCATGCTCAGGCCTCCAGCTACACCGACCAACCTGTGTCATTTCACAAGCAAACTTACCTCAGGGCCTTTGCTCTGGTTGCTTCCCCCGCCTGAAATACACCTCCCCAGAGACTGCATGACTATTTCCCTTTTTCTCTACCTCAAGTGGAAAGATTTCTACCCACCCTATTTTAAACTAGAACCCCCACCCCAGCACTGCCATCCCTCTTCCTACTTCCAGCTTCTTAACCCAGAGTGCCTGCCAGTCACACTCTAGCTTGTATTTGTCATCCCCTCCCCTGTCCCACTCTCTGGATTGCAGCCCCGAAACAGGGATTTTGGGTGCTTTGTTCACTGCTGTAAATTCAGACCCACAACTGGGTTGGCATGTGGTTAAGCACCCAACAAACATTTGCTGATTAAATATCAAGGATACTCCTAAATTGAGTTTGAGCCACTAGAAAATCAGCATTGTCAAATAGGGCATCTCACTGGGTCCACAGGACACACTTCACTTGATCCCCTCTCCTGCCCTTGGTCACATCCATGAACTAGACAGAATAGGCTTTGCAACCACAGCCCCTCCCCACCACTGCCAGGAGACCCACCTCAGGCAATCATGACTGCTCCAAGTTGGTTTTCTCACGTATCTAAAAGGATACAACTTCGACCTTGGCAACACACACTGGTTATAGGGACCAAGTGTGACACTGGCCATCTACCTGGTGAGACAGGACCAACTCCTATTGCTCACCCACCCCCAGGACCACCCATCCCTAGAACCTGAAGCTAGCTTCAGAGGCCACTTGGGAACTGCAGAGGCCTCACAGAGGGGAGCCATTTCTGAGCACCATGCACATACCAGGCCTCCCTGTGCTCAGAATTCTTGCTTTTTAATTTTTGCAGTTATATCTTGCTCTTCCATGTGTGCGCATTCCACTCACCCTCCAAACCACCTGTGCCCAGACCCCAGAAATGCTTTCATTTGAAGAGTTGGGTTCTAGGAAGGCAGGGTAAGGTCATGTTGTAGTTCAGCTGCTCCAGATGTTAAGAACCTGCTGGGAGGTTTCCTCCCCCCGAAGCCTCTGGGCCCTGGTCAGTAGACACAGGGTTGGAAGGCTACCCCCACCCCGTACAGTCCCACCATTCGTCACAGCTGGGCTCGTTGGGCTGTGCAAACCCTGGGAAGCTGTCTGGGGCCCCTTTCCCAGAAAGCTCTGCAGGTGGCCAGAGCTTTTCACTATTGTGGGGAGCACAGCAATCACCAGCAGGCACGTCACCAATTCCCTCCAATTTGGAGAATGGCTTTTATAAAAATGATTGAAGACGGGGTAGGGGAAAAAGTTAGAACCACACCCAGATTAGCTGCATTCAAAGTACCAAGCCACATTCTAAGTGAAGACATTTTATTTCAGTCAGTATGCGATAAAGGGAACCCACTTTTCTGGATCTCTGATGTGGGAGCCGGGCCAATGGTGAGAAACATTTTCTCCCCACACCCCCACTTTTCTCAAATGTCAGTAGACAAGGCTGTGACCACTGACAAGCAACCCTGCCTGAGCCCTAAGTGTCTGCCTCAGACTCATTTTGCACAGCAGCCAGCTCAGAAGCTGGCATGGTGCCAATGTCCAACACGCCACAAGCAGCATGGATTCACTGTTGTTAATGTCACTTTGGAAGGAAAACTCAGGAATGACCTTGAGCTCCTGGTCGGGACTGAGACTGGAAGCCGGGCAGCCTGTGGGGTATGAGGTAGGCCTACTGGCCGCAGTCTCTGGTTAGCTGCTTTCTGGTCTCGTTCAAGAGCTGTCCAGGTCCACACCCGGCAGGAGGAAGGCCCACCTTCACAAAAACCTCTACCTCCCCCCTTTCTCAAGAGGCAGCAGCACACTCAGCACCTGTGCTTCTTTGAATCTCTACCTTTACATATAAACTGAGGATTTAAAATTGAAGCTGAGAAATTCCAGTTCCTATTGAAAAGCTTTCTCACCTGCACTCAGAACGTGTCCAGCTGCCACCAAGTAAACAGCACTGCAAACAAAGCGTGTGTCTTGTTCTGCATTATTTATTTAAGTTAGAGTATACACTGAGTCCAGCCAGAATTCAGCAGGCACAGAGCGGTGCCTATTGGTATGTCATATTAAGAAAATAGCTTTTCATAGCACATGTTGACTGCAGTAACACCATCCTGGAAGGAAAAGTCCCCTCAAGCCAAAGCTGTTTCTATATGAGAGGGTTTTAGAGGCAGTTTCCCCAAAAGATTCTGCGTTCTTTTTTAAGCAACCCCTTGATGCAAGGAGTGTTTCCCAGCCCCAGAAGAGAAGCATGGCCAGAGGACAGGGGTTCTAAAACCACACTTCAGAGAGACACGGACTTCTTGCTGTTTCATGTAACAACAGGCTGACTGTCCCTTTAGACAATGACTACCAGCCACAGTTGGCAGGGAGAGTCCCCACCGCACTGGGCAGTGCTAAGGCTTGGTCTCTCATCTCACCGCTCTTGGTGCAAGCAGTGCCCTCCAGCCACCAGTACCAAAGTGTTACAAGCGCTAGCTAAAAATCCTTCCGCGTGCACTTTTTATAATGGTCTAGGCCTCCAAGAGGAAGCAATGGGCTAGCACTCGAATCCACAACGATGCGAGGTAGTTGTAGAAACAGGAGCCTCCACCAGCCACGTCTGGCATCTACTCCCGCCCGGATGTCCTGCTTCTCGTCTGGAAGGCTTACCGACCACAAAGGAGTCAACACCAGGCAGCACAGTGTAGGAGCCGATACACATGATGCGACATGCACGTCAAAGGCTTCCAAATACCTTTCCCCATAATAAAATAATCTTAATAAAAACATAATTTAAAGGAAGTGTCAAAAGCTGAGTGTAAAATCAAAGCTGTAAACTCCACCAAAGTCTGAAGGTTTCTTGATGCATCAGCCCTGTTTAAAAGACAAATTTTAGTAGTTATGTAATGTCTATAAAAGTAGAAAAATGAAGACTTAGAGTTAGCTACCACAGTAAACTGTGCCTGTTCTCCACTGAAGCTCAGGAGAGAGTCGAATTTATAGTTCCTCAGAATCCTACAATTTTAAGAGCTTACTCTACCTGCCTCAATACAAAGGTTCTTTCTCCATTGCACCAGCCTCTGAACAGGGCTGCGCACAGGAATTCTCCACTAGCGAGGCAGTGAGAAAGTCTACCTAACTGACCAACAGCTACCTTCACTGTTTCCATCTCCTTTCTTTATGGCAATTCCCTAGATGACCAAACAGCCTACGGGAAGCAACCTGGGGCAGAGGACTGATGAGCCTCTGTGCTGAGTGCTGCCCTGGTGCAGAGGGAGCAACCACAGCACTCTTCCTGACGACCTCACACCCTCCAACTCGGCCGAGCTCCCACAGACCAGGCGGCTGATCAACCCCAGCAGAAGGGAACCAATCTCGTGCCCGTTAGGCCAGACCTATGCCATGAAGAGGCCCAAAGGTGGTAGGTACAAGTGTGCAGGATTCAGAGAGGCTACGTGCCAGTGCCTCAGGCAGGTGTCACCTCCCTGCAGTGGGACCCCGGATTCCTGACTGTCATGCTCACCCCCTTCCAACACTGTCACCAACAGAATATTTCTGTCAGAAGCCCACTTAAAATGGGCCCACACCATTCAGGGGAGTGCCCAGTGCTACTGTGCTGCACGCCTTACAAGCCCTGTCACTACCTAAGACACTCACTCAAAGCCTGGTGACTGTTCAGATTTGGAAGGACGTCCTGTTTAAGCAGCAAGCAACATGAAACTTACATGTTGCGTGTTTCTCTGCAGAAACGATAACACATCATCACACCTGTCACTCAAGGTCTCCCAGGGTATGGCTACATGAGACACCAAGGGTCTAAGAATCCAGTTCCCCCAGGATTAGTCAGACTGATGCCTGCATGCAGCCGTCAGGAAAAAGAGCTCCCAGTGGCTGCCCGGCCCCCAACCCCCTGGAGCAGGGCAGACAGGTGCCCTGTACCTTTGCAGGTTTACCCATTTGACGTCCACACTGCCCTTTCATTCTCCGGCAGATAAAAAAGTTCAGCACTAAATATTCATGATCCCAGTGTTAGCAATCCTAGTGTGAGCATCATTTTGCTTTTTAATTAAAGCTTAAAAATAGCACTTACGTTATCATCAGTCATGATTTATGGATGGAAACTTCAATTCAGTGATTTCAGAGTCAGGGGAGCTGCTTCCACTCCTGTCACTATAGGTATCCCTGTAGAATTTAGACAGTTTATTCATCATCTCCCACCAGAAACTCACGCTACTTCCCTGGTTCTGAAGCTACCACCCCTACAGGGACACTTGTCTACACACAGCAGCAACCAGAAATTGGCTTCTCGACAATATTATGTATTTAGCATGAAGCCATCAAGGGATTTTCTTCCTCTAGTTATAAAAGATACCCATTCAATTTCTACTTCAGTTATGATACCCTAACCACCCAACTCAGCATAATTAGCTGGTTCTGGATAAAGGTATCAACAGGGTGTGAACTCCACAGGGCTCTGGCAGACACCTTGTGAAAACCAGTTCCCAATGGACCACAGCATCCTACTGCCAAATGTGGTCCTGGAGCCCAGGTGCTGCAGAGAGGGGACACACAGCCGGAGAAAACCCTGGGGAGGGCGACCGACGAGCCTCCCCGCTGCCTGTGGTTCTGCTGAGCACTGACTGTCTGCAGCTCGCTGTCATGAGCCAATGACCACCCCAAGGAGTGAAGAAGAGTGACTGTGACCCTACCTGGGCGAGAGCCTGCAGCCTTTCTGGAGGTAATGCGGGAGCCTCCCCACAGAGGCCAGAAGGAGGCCAAAGTACGGTGGGGAAGGCTTGATAGGTCTGGACAGGAACTCAGGGTGGTACTGAACTCCCACAAAAAAGGGATGATCTGAAATGGAAATGCAAAAGAAATGGCTTCATTATGTATATAAGCCTAAGGTGTAAAACATGAAAAGAGCCTGCTAGATAGTTCACATTTCCACAGACCCTAACATTATTTGAATACAGCTTCTCAAATTAGAACCTGGGGAAAGGTACCGGAGAGCATGCGAGTCTGATAACCTCCCCGCAAGGAATCACCCTCCTGGCCAAAGGGGGCTTCTCTCAGGCTCCTTGACCCTACTGCTCCCCAGTTCTGCGGGATTGAGTCACACAGGTTACTTTTTACATCAGAAGGGGGATTGGGTCCAGCTCTTACTCGGAGGACGACGCACTGAGGCCAGAGGTGAGATGGCTGCCCGAGGCAGGGAGGGGGCACAGGGTGAGCTTCCCAGACTCTAGGCACCTGTCACCAAGGTACCCAACCTCCAAGACAGGGCTGCTTCCTTACATTTTTATATTTCCCTGCATGCCAAGAACACCTCACTAAATTTTCCATATGCAACTGTTTCCAAAAACAACTATCTAAGTAATTAATTACCTTCCAGCTCCACAATTTCCATTCTTTCTCCTTCAACATCTTGGCCAACAAATTTCAAACCTTGTTCTTCCAAACACTTTTTCAAGACTGGATTCACCTGTTAAAGCATGAAAAGCAACTTTGGTGGATTCTCAGTGTGCTGTTTCCAGAGTAACAGAAAAGAGATATGTGAAGGTCACAGAGCTCAAATCCTCACCTCAAATCTGTGGCGATGCCTCTCCTCTAGGTAATCCGGATCTCCGTAGAGTTTCCCTGGGAGAAGAGCAGACTCACGTAAAGAATTCTCATCTCACCTCTACTCCCTGCTTCCCAGCTGACTTGTATCATCTACGCAGTCGGGACTTCTAATGATTATTTCCGTGATTCTCCTGCCAAACATAGCCACCTGCTCAGAGCACCATGATTTAGACTAATTCTCAGGCTTGGACTATTGTGACCACACCAAGAAAAATGGACCAGAAACAGACCTTCACCACTACCCCCCAGATGTGATCACTGAGGCACAAGGAACTTTTCTGCTACAAACTGTCCTAGAGAACAGACCAAGGTGTACCAAACCCAGCCCTGTGGTAAGAGACATGTTAGAGCTACATGTAGGCCCCTCAGGGCTGCAGGGCCAGCACCATGCAGCTGGGTCCTGGTTGTCAAAGCTCCTTGGCACCTGGCAGCCGCACATGAATAAGCTGCATTTGAAAATTCGTAGCTGCCAGGTGAGGCCCCAAATTCACAGAAACTAGAGTTTTCAGAACTCACACCCGCCAAGACCTCATTTGTTAACGACTGAATTTTTCAGTGGGGGGGGGGATCAAACTAATTTTCTTAAACACTATCCTCCCAATTTTCCCCTAAACTCTTAGCATTTTTTTTTAAATTTATTTATATAAGCACTGGTTACAGTCAGAATCGTGGGAGGGTGACAGAATTCACCAGAGCCAGAGGGGAGAACAGAGCAGGCAGACTGGCAAGTACACTGCTGAGGGGAGCAGCGGGCGGCAGGAGAGGTCTGCGCGCCATGTGGGACCCTCACCGGGTGACCGGGTCAAACCGGCACTGCAAAGGCTGCGGGCAGCTTTGCAACCCAGTGCTCAACCGCTGCGCCACCGGGGAGGCCCTAAACTCTTAGCACTTTTCAGTACTTTTAGAATAAAATTTAGGTTGAACCACTGAAACTGCTGTTTTTATGGGACAAAAGTCAAATTTCACCAGTTTCATATGGTTCAACCCAACAGTGTTGAAAAGTAACAGACCATGTGGACCTCACTTAAGGAACTCACTCTCAGGAGTCATCCACACCCAAGGCCCCCTGGTCCCTGACAGCCTGTGGCCTATCTAAGACCCACACTGCTTCTCTGACCATTATAGTGTATCCCAAAAGGTCAGGACTAGGAAAGGATAAAAGAATTTGAAAAGCAAGAACAAGAAAGCCAGCCTGGCTCTCCTGAGCCCCAAGACTGGGGCTGGGGAGACAGCTCTTACTCATGACTGAGTTCTTGGTCTGGAACAGCGTTCTCCTCTTGCCCAGTCTCATGGTTCCGCCCATCTGCCCAGGATTGTGTTCTGGCATGTCGATGACCTGAAGGTGTTCAAACAGTGTTTCCTTAGGAGACAGATCACCTACACGGAGTGAGTCTGAGCAGGTCCTAATGCCCCAGCCTTTCCTGTTAAGAGAAATATTGGCACAGGGGAAAATGCCTCCCAATGATCATTTTACACTTTTGTTGGGTAGAGCTAAAGACTGCAGCCTGTCCTCATGAACTGCAGGTGAGACAGGGTCTCTGCCAGGGTCATTCTGTCCCTGGCACTTTGGATGCTGAGTGTTACTGTCTGGAACACATTCTGAAAGACTGACACAGCAGCGTAGGTGCAGACTAGAAGTCCTAACACGTCCCCTCTACCAGACTGAGGGTCACCCTGTCCTAGGAGAAGCTCAGTGAACATCTGGGATATAGACAGGCCAAGACACCTCAGCCATGAGTCCAGCCTGCTTAGTCCCGTGCTCCCCAAGCATCTTCTGACATGGAGGACTTTTCTGTGTCTGCCCCCTACCACCCTGAGGTTCCATGCCTCAAAACCTTGGCTCTTCTGAAGTCTTATTTCAGGTCAGCAAATACTGATGTTGTTCAAGTGCCTTGAGATTAGAGTCCTGTATGTCCTGTTTCTCGGTGTCCTCAGTATTGATCGCAGGCCTGTCATTCCTGGGCTGAGGATTCAAAGATGAATAAAGGCACTGGGTCTCCCCATGAGCCACATGCATGTGACAGAAGACATAATAGGATACCAGGTCTGTCGGCCTCAAAAAGTCTTGGTTCCATTAAGGAAATCAGTGCTATATTCCAGCAGCTCTCTAATAATGTACCTGTCTTCAAGGCTGGCTGGGACTAATGAGTTAACGTATTTAAAGTTGTGAGAACGTCGTCTGGATGTAGTAAATGCCTACGTAAGTGTGTCATCAGTCTGGGAAGCAGGGAGGGAGATTTAATTTCATCAGGAAACCCCCTAGTTGGCTGGGGTGGTGCCTGTCTTTAAAACTTTGTGGCAAACTGGGAAAAGCAGTGAGAAATAAATGAGGAAAACTAGTTCTTATTCTGCAGGGGATCCAAAAGTGCAAGCACTCGGGCACTCTGGGATGGATCCAGTAGTCCCACTTCCTGTCTAACCATCTACTTCTTTCTATAAAGCAGCCCTTCCACACCGTTCTGACCCTGCTGAGGACCAGACACCTGACTCACCACAGGATGATTGGTCTTAGGATCAAACTCCGTAGAATTGGCATCTGAAAAATCAAAATACTGGTGTTAGTGACAACACCTTACAGGTCTTACACAGTTGCCTTAATCAACAACCAAATCAGAAACTAACTGATTTTAAAGCCTAAATAACCTTTTCATACTTCACTGAATTTTACCTTCTAACCACCAGCAAAATCTAAAAGGAAAAGAAGCCAGTTCCTGGTACTCTGCCTCCTCCTTTCCACATGAATGTGCCAGGTGCTGGTCACCTGTTGGGCCTGCACAGGGCCAGGTCTCAGCTGCGAGAGAGCTCATCACCAGGCCACTCAACCACCTGGAACCTGAGTGGGTGGCAGGTCACCGCTATGGGGCGAGTCCTGGGTATCCACAGGGCTCTTCTGAGGGCGTGGATGGTCAGGCGGCCCCTGCTAGGAGCTCAACAGCCAGAACTAAAGACTGCTGCCCACAACACAGAGCCACTACCCCCTCGGGGTGCTTGTAAGGCAGCCTCGCAGAAGAATGAACAGAACCCAGCCCCAACAGCAAGTGCCCAAGAACTGCTTGTCCGTCCTAAAGTCAGACTGCTTTCACATTCCTTCAGCTTCCTTTGTTTATTTTTCTTATAACTTATAAAATCTAGGCTCCATAAGCCGGACTTCCCACGTTAACAGTGACTGAAGAGCTGCTGCTCCCAGAGACTTGCACCCCCAGGATTTACCCTGTGTGGCCACAAGATGTTAGCAAGTTTGAGAAGAGTTGGTACACTGGGCTCATTATTTTAGAAGTTGGTGGTCAGCACACTGAGGAGGCTGGGGCTGAGCCAGTCGGCAACGAGCAGCCACGTGGAGAGACCCTGTCAACAGCCCTGCCAAGCAGGGCCCAGGGTCTGGCAGGGCAATCTCAGACTCACCACGCGGCACAAAAAACCAGCCCACTTAGTCCACCCCACCCACAGAATGCAGAAAATAATAAACCACTGCTGTTGGAAGCCACTGAGTTTTGAGGTGGTCTGGTGGAGGTACAAAGCAACAGTAAGCCAGAGAATTTCCTGTTCTCCAGGCACTGTGCTGGGACTGTTCTCATGCATTCATTCTTGCAACCATATAAAGTAGGTAACATTATTACCCTCTTTGATAGAGGAAACAGAGGCCCAGAAGGGCTAAGTAATTTGTCTAAAATCAATCATGTGAGAAACTCAGAATCTGAACCTAGGTCTGACCACGCCAGAGCCCAAGTTCATAGGACTGACAGCCTCACAGGTCAGAGTTCTCTCAGGATACCAGCTCAGGGGAGGAAGTGGCAGGATCCCCAGAGCCAAGGCACCCGGCAAGCTGTGCTCCCTCCTTCCAGGAAGAAATAGGAGACCAGACCAGTTTCACCTCAATAAACTCAACAGTTCCCCTTTGGTACACCAGCCAGCTCTCCTCCATAGCTCCTGATCACCAACATTTACCAGATTTCATGCCTCCAGAAAACAGCACAGAATTTCACAGGCTTTTTCTTGGGCCTTACCTTGCCATCCAAGCACATTTCTTGAAAATTCAACCACCGCCAACTGCATTCCTAAGCACACACCTTGCAGGTAGAAGGGAGAAAGAAATGAAGCTCCAATGAAAAGGGGACCCCCCCCCCATTTCCCACCAGCCTGCCATGGACTTCATGCCCTGTGTTCACAGAACCACAATCACAAACTTGCATGACTTCCTGCTGTGAAGAAGCATCCCTGCTGTTATGCTTTTATCTGTATCAAATTAAAAAAACTGGGTCTAAGTGTGTATGAAGATTCCAGATTTTAGAAGGTATTCGATTTTAGAAATAAATAATATTCTACTCAGTACTTGAAAATAAGTTTTCTTATCCTCTAATTTCCCAGTTATAACTGATTAAGTTGAAAATTACTCAAATGTACATCACCACGAAGCATCCACACTTACTTTATCCAATTAATCAGCTGGTATGCCAAGTGAAGCCGACATTAAGTCAATCTCACATGTCCTGCCAAACAGCTGGGTTCAGTCGATGGCCACAGTTTCCTAGCTGCCTTTCATTCTCTCAGAATTCCATGAGAGAACTGCCATGGAATGCACACACACACAAGCTTAAACTTTTCATTTCAAAGGAGAATTTGGATTTCTTCCAAATAGAACCATAAGGGCTTCTATTTGAGTTGTCTAGAAAGATGAATTTTTTCTTGCTTTTTCCTACTCCTTACCCAAAAAAGGCTTCTTCTGTTTCCGAGCCCAGGCGATTGCTTGGATTTTGCCTTCTGTTCCTCGAACACCAAATCCCCCCGGAACCAGCACTCCACTGGACAAGAGAACACAGCACAGCAGCCCCTTCCCACCAGTCCAGCTCACAACCACCACCCAAGGAGCCACAGCCAAGACGCCATGCAGTTCCTCCCAAGCCTGTGCTCCTGGGTCTGTGACTGGCTTCAAGACAGTGAGTAAATACATGGCCTCAAAAAATGCACACATGACCATGAACTTTCCTTAGTGACATTAGAAGAGGCTTATGACAAGCGAAAAGAAGGCAGCATACTGAACAGTAAAACAGAATCTGTCCTGGGTGTGAATTCTTTCTTGATTCTTCACATATAGCAATATACTGTTTATCTCTTGGCTGAAAGTGCCCAAGCAGGAAGAGGATCTTTTGTCAGCTCAGGGCCACACCGACTGAGGGTGTCAACATTACCTGTATGGTTCCATCACATTCCGTTATTCTAGTGAATTCAAAATTCTGCCTAATTTTTGACTATTATAAATAATATCTGCCAAAAAACAAACTCTTTGTGAGACTGTATTGATGGGTACCATCTGGGTGAAACATTGTTATAAATAAGTTTCATCAACCGATGTATATAAGCAAATGATATCACTAAAATCAGAACATTTTCTTCAGTTTCAACTATGTTGCTAAGTTTTATTTTCAAGAGGCTTATTAAGTCATACAGTATGCAGCCTTCGATAATTAAAAGGTGGGGGGGGGGTCCATTGTAGGGTGGTAGAGGAAAACCAGACTTGGTGATCATAATGTAGTCTATACAGATGTTCAAATATAAAGCTGTAGACCTGAAAATTACGCAGTGTCTTAAGCCAATATTGCCTCAGTAAAACAAACAGCTAACGAAAAGATATTTAAAAAGTAGGTCACCTACTATTAGAACATGAACACACAGCACCTTGCTCATTAAAACCACCCAAAACCCCCGGGAAACAAGGGCTGGGAACCCTACTCACTTGGCGCTACAGAGCTTCTGCCAGGCTTCATGGTAGCGCACAGGCTCCTCCTGCAAGGTGCTAGGCTCCAGGTCCGTGGAGTCTATGTACTGGGGGGGGCAGACGGGGTGGGAGAGGATGCAGCTCGTAACTCCAGAGCTGTGGCCTATCATCATTTCCAAATAACATCATGTTCCATCTTTCTTCATTTTAAAGTTTTAAAATAATACTCTCCATATATGAAACTTCGTAAGTTTAAATATAAACTCTGAGATCTTTCTCATGTTTTTAAGCACAAGAGTTTCTTTTGTCTACTCCCAAAACTGGCTCCCTCACCGCTCTGTCTAGGACCTTATCTCAGCTAAGCCCCAGGGGAACTAGAGTGCAAGTGTTCTCTGTTCAAAACACACTCTCCCCAGTCCATCTTCCACACAGACTGCTTTTCAATTTTTTCAACTCGACTGAAATATAATTTACATATAATAAAATCATGGACTTTAAGCAAACATTTCGATGAGTTCTGTCAAACACACAAAGGCATGAACCTCCATCTCAATCAAGATACAAAAATGAACACCCTCCCCAAAAGTTGTCCCTCTCTACTGCAGAACAATCTCCTCCCCACTTCCTGCCTGGACCTCATTTCTAGGTTCTATTTTCACAGGTTTTGCCTCTTCTAGAGAGCCCATAAATGGAACAAAATAACATGAGCCTTTATGTCAGGCTTCTGCTCAGTAGAATTGCTTTCAAGTTTTACCCACACTGCTGTGCATGACACTAGTTTGCTGCTTTTCATTACTGAGCAGTCTTCACTGTAGGATTATGCCACAGTCTGTCTATCCACTGGCTCCCTCTGAACACTTAAGATTGTTTCCAGATTTGGGTTATATTGAACAGTGGGTCCATTTGTATAAAAACTTTTTGTGGACATGCATCTTCATTTCTCTTGCATTACATATACTGTCAGAGTCGCCACACCATGAGCATTTCCACTCACACATGGGGGTGCCCGGTTCTCACCTGAATTCCCAGTCACTGTAAGGAGCACCTGTTGGTATCTCACTGTGAATTCATTTGTATTTGCTTACCTAACAAGGGACAGTATTGACCATCTTGTCATGTAATCACAGGCATCTTTTATGGACGTGTCTGTACAGATCTTCTGCCCATTTTGTATCAGGTTGTCCACCTTTTTCTACTCCTTCCTATTACTTCTTGCCATAACTTCCCAGAATCCCCAGTAAGAGCCAGGTTTAGCCCAGCTGATGACCCGGCCTTCACCAGATGTCTCCAGACATCCTCCAGTTCATGTTCCCTCTGCTTGATTTTCAACTCTTCCACAGTTCCCAAGCCCCTGGATGTGTTTCTGCCTTCTGCTAGAATGGTCGTCCCTCTGCCTCATCCATCTCCCCTCCAGGGGTCCCTCCTTAAGGAAGTCTGTCCTCCTCACATGTCTACCATGGCAGGTCCACCCTCTTTTCTATGTGTCCCCTTCATACCTGAGACCTCTCCAACTTTTTATTCATCTTACAACCTCTACCACCTAACACATGAAAAGCACAGACTATCTCCACGGATAAAATAATCAAAGAACTAGCAAAAATTAAGTCAGGGCAGTAATGAGATCCCATAAGTCTTAAAACACATATAATAGTCATTCTACAGGAAGCTGTTCAGCAGCACAAAACACCTGGACACGTGGTAAGTCAACCACACCAGTGACAAGGACAGCTGCGTGGGGCTGTCAGTTCTGGCCCAGCTTCACACAAAGCAATTCTGAGCTCGAAAGATATAAAGCTGACACATGTGCACCATCTGTGGGAACACAGGCAGCCTCCCTGTTCATGTGTATCTGCACCATCCCTCACCTTGATTTCCAATTTGTGGTTGATGGCCAGTGCAGAATGCTCCAAAGCTTTAATGACAGACGCGTAAGAGTCTGAGAATTTGGTATATTTGCCCACAAGGGCAATAGAGCAAGTCTCCAGCAAGCGATCGTATCTATCAAACAAAGGTCAAGAAACACTAAATTACTTAGAATGTAAATACCACCAAGACATCAAAATTGCTTCTTAAAGAAAAGAAAAACAAGTCTGGGAACTACATAATAGAAGCAACTATTATCTGAGTCCCATGTATAGAGCAATAAAGAAGCAATTTTCAAACCAACATGGCAGGCTTTGTAAAGAAAAGCAGAATTTGGGCCTTCCTGGTGGCGCAAGTGATTAAGATGCAACCTAGGAAGCTATCCACAGACACTGCAGCACAGGTTCGATCCCCAGCCAGCCAGGGAACTACCCACATGGTGCAGCAGACCTCTCCTGACTCACCCACTGCTCCCCTCAGCAGTGTATTCCGGTCAATCTGCCTGTGCTGTTCCCCACCCTGTCTCTGGTGAACCCTCCTACCTCTACCCTTCACTTCTGGCCTGTACCCCATTTCTTGTATGCATAAATAAATAAATCTTTTAAAAAAAAAAAGAAAAGAAAAAAGCAGACTTTTAGTAGCTGTTATAAAGAGATGGCTTCAACATCTTACCCAAATTGTTTTCTAAAAAACCAAACTTAAATCCCACAGGGCAAAAAAATTGACATAAACAAAATTCACAGAAGTTAATGCGATGAAAGAATTGTCAAGTAAATGAATAGTGAAATAATCCATACTCATTAAAACTTCATTTTATAGTATAAGTAGTAACAGCAAAAATGTTCATAGCATTTTATAAAAAAGATCATAAAATTGTAGCTACATAAAAATGTTCATGTAGGGCCTCCCTGGTGGTATAGGGGTTAAGTCTCAGCATGATTACGCTATCGCCAGCCACAGCAGCATGAGTTCAATCTCCAGCCAGGGGGGAGCTAACCCACATGGCATAGCAGACTCTTGCCTGCTGCTCCCCTATACCCCAGTTCTTGTATGTATAAATAAATAAAAATAAATCTTTAAAAAATATATTCATATAATCAGACAAAGACGGAAAGGGAAAATGTCAAAATGAAAATAAGTATCACAGAGCAGTGGCATGGGTGCTCCCTGGCCAAACCTTCCTTGTGACTTTGCAGCTACAGCAAGGCATACCAGGTCTGGGTGCTGTGTGAAGGTCTTTGATGTGAGGGAAGAAACCAGAATGGAACAGTTCTCAAAGTGATGAGACCGGGCAGCAGCAGTATGAAAGAAAATTCTTGGACATCCTTGCTGTTCCTTTTCTGGTGTGGGATGAGGGGCATGTTCCCAAACACAGCTCAGATAACTGGGATGCTGCCCTGAAAAGCTCCACCACAACCAGCCATTCATGCGGGCCTTGGGTGTATGCTAAGCCACTGCTACTGGGGCACCTGTTGGCGTTGATTTTCTTGGCTAGACAAGAGTAACAGGTGTCACTGCAGGCTGGTACTGGGCCCACTCTACCAGGACTCGTCAGCCAAGATGCCACCACACAATGGCGAAGGTCCTTTCGTAACATCTCTTTCCATTAAGACCTTCCCTAACATGAGCTGATGGCACAGGTACTAAAGAAAGAGTTGAATTCCCTGCATGCCTACAAAAGAGATAAAAGTGTAGAACTCCCAGCTCCTTATGAGGCAAACCTGTCAGCCATCTCCTTCCATTTCATCAGCATTTTTCGTGACTGCCTCTCAATAGGAAGATCAAGTCTTCGAAGAAAATAATCCACAACCCCCTGTTCCTCTAACAACAAGGGGACTCGGTAGATGGACGAGACATCATGGACACAGATCACCTATTTAAAAAGGAGCAAAGGTTACTAGTAAAACAAACAAAACTACCCACACTGGAAGCCTCCTACTAGCTATATCACCCTGGAAAAATGTTTTAGATGTAAAAAAGATAAAAGGATAATCTTTTGAAAATACATATAAATTACTAAAATCAAAGCAATACTAGGCCAGAAAATTAATGACTTATCTCTTATGAACATGGATCAAATATTCTTGAAAAAATAAACTTACAAACCAAACCATGATGTAGTTTAAAACAAAATCATGTCCAAATAGGAACTGCCCTAAGAACAGTGGTTCTCAAACTTGAAATCACATGGGGAGAGCATTTAAAAATTCAAGTCAGGGCCTCCCTGGTGGCACAACGTTAATGAGGGAAAAAAGCGAGAGTGTGTGTATGTGTGTGTGCACACGTGTGCGTGTCACATGACAGGCTCACCACCAGCACCTGTGAGGCACACAAGTAGCCCAAGAAAGGATTTAACTCTGAGGAGATCTAAGGTGAAAAGATTTCTCATAGACAGTACTGTGTCCGGAGCTGGCGCTGAAGGATGAAATGAGTAAGAGATCTCCAGGCCAACAGGAAGAGAAGAGCAGAGTTCAGTATGGAGCTCACAGGACAAGGAGTGGGGCAAGGGGGAGGCAGGACAGGTGAAGTATGTTTTGGGGAACCCAGGGACAAGGTCATGGAGAACCACGGTCAGCAGGTACCAGTTCTTCTAGGGAACAGTCTACTGTCTCAAGTCATAAACTAACAAGAAGCCTTATTAAACTAATTGAGACTTTAGGATAACTAGAAGCTATAAAACTATAAAGACTTGTGTGAAAATGGAATTTCTACCTACCTGTTCAGGTTCGACGTGGCAGAACATAGATATTTTCTCTTTCACTGCCGTGTCGAGAGGATTTGAGCACCTGCAAACAACCTAGAAGCAAAGAAAATAAGATATTTAGATAAAAAGAAGGAATACAAAGCTGGGTTTTTCTCCATAGACATCACACTGTTAACTCCTAGCACGATGCATGCAAGTGATGGAAAGATTAGTTTTCAAAACTGAAATTCCCGAATCCCAAACTGGAGAAACGTAACAGCGTGGCAGTACCAGTGAACGACAAGAGCCAGCTGGGGTTTTCCTCATTAATGTTCTTGGGTAGGGGGGAAAAGGGAACAAATGAAGGGCCATGAGGAGAAGACAGGCCCTCACACAGGCCAGGTCAAAAAGTATTTGTAAACCACAGCTCCAGATCAAAGCACTAAACCTGTAAGTTTCCCACCATCAAAGATCACTCAGAGCATGCCAGGAAAACAAGGCCTCGCCTGCCAAGAAGGAGCGATCTTAACCAGACACACAAGGGCTGCTGAACCCGAGTGCCTTACCAGATCCGGGGAAAGGCCGAGCCCCCTGAGTTCCCGAACACTGTTCTGGGTGGGCTTAGTCTTCTGTTCCCCTGTGGAACTTGGCTGTTTGACAAAAGAAAACAAAGTTAATTTCTCTGTGATAAGGAATTTTCAAGTATGACCTTTCCCTGAACTCCTCTTAATAAGGGAATAGAGACCTGGATCATGCATCAAACTTAGTTTTTAATTATGTCAAAGTTACATGCCCTTATAGCTTATTAGTCAGTTTCTACAGTTTATGCTAAAGAACAGCAGGGCCCTACTCCCACCTACCCCTCCCCTTTTCTAAGCCTTATCTTTTGATTTAAGACTTTGAGGTATTTTCCATCAATTTCTGTCAGACAAGGAACCTACCCTCTACTACGCATGCATCGTCTGTGCCCGCAACCGCCATCTTGGGGCCCCTCATCAGTGTTTATACATATCCGAGTATTTAAATACTATGGTTCAACCATGTGCCATTCTTTTCCTTCCTGGTCCAATTACTTGTTTTCCCTGGTGAGTCCATTTCTTTGGTATGCTGGGTTTTTTACATTCTAAACTATGTTAACTCTCCTCTCACACTAACAGATTTGCTGGGTACAGAATTCTAGGATGGAAGTCATTGTCCCTACAAATTTTTTTTTGAAGATTTATTTATTCATGCATACAAGAGCTGGGGTACAGGCCAGATGCGCGGGAGGGTGAGAGGATTCACCAGAGACAGAGCGGGGAACAGAACAGGCAGACTGACTGAAATACAATGCTGAGGTCTGCCATGCCACATGGGATTCTCGCCGGCTGGCAGGGATCGAACCGGTGCTGCAGAGGCTGCGGACAGCTTGACAGCGCTGAGCTGAGCTCAACCGCCTGCGCCACCAGGGGAGGCCCTTCCCTACAAATTTTCAAGGAAACAGCTTTACTATCTTTAGCTTTAGCATTGCTGCTAAGAAGTCTAATAATGTCATACTGATTTTTGATTTTTCCTTTCAGAGCATTTTAGAATCTCTGCCATTATTCTGAATTATCACAATGACAGGTCTAGGTATGGGTCATTTTCCAATTAATTCACTGGGTCTTCTCAATTTAGAAACTCATGGATGAAAACTTCCTTGAGTTGTTTAGACCATGGGTCAGAAAACTTTTTCTATAAAGAGCTAGTTAATAAATATTTTAGGTTTTATAGTCTTGGTCACAACTACTCGACTGCTGTTTCAATGCAAAAGAGCCATAGACAAAATAAATGGGCTCTGCTGCTTTTGCCTACTTCACTTTCAAAGATGGGATGTGTTGATTTGGGTTGGGGGGCACAGATTACATTTCCTTTCCAATACTCTGTCCTTATTTTCTGGAAATCCTATTATTTTGGATGTCAGAACTCTAAACCAGTCCTCTAGTTTTACATTTTCTGGCCTATTTCCTGTCTTTTGCTCTTCAGGTCCTACTTCCTGGGGTACTTCCTCAACCTTCTTTTTCTTAACTTTTCATTTCTACTATCCAGGTTTTAATTCCCAAGAATTTTTTTTGTTGTTTTCTGAATGCTCTGGTCTTAAGAGTATCCCGTTCCAATTTAACAGATGCAGTTTTTCTCCTCTTAATTCTGAGAATTCACAAAGTTGCTTTGTTTCCTTTTTTAAGTTTCCTACTCCCTGCAGATCTCAACTTCTTTTTTTCTGTTGTTTTGCTCTTGCACTTCATATATTTTCTTCCAGTGTCTGGTATCACTGGCTGCCAGCTCATATTCAAAGGCTGACTGAAAGTTCTGTGTGAATAGGCAGCCTATACCCCAGGGTCCTCACACTGGCCATCTGGTCAGTCTGTTTCACTGGGTAGTCTCAAGGGCAGTATTTTCAACTGGGCTAGTCACTTATCTCCCAACCCCCGCCCCCCCCCCCCCCCCGCCCCAAAGAACCCTACAATCTCCTATGTGGAAGGTCCAAGCCTGGCTGTGATGATTCTCGGAACCAAGTGAGAGAAAGTGGGATCATCTCAACAGCAAAAAGCTATACCTCACCCCCATGTTTTTAGCTCAGCTATGCTGTTCTCGACTGTCCTTCGTGTGTGCTCATCTGGAAACCCTCCCCAGAGAGAAAGCCTTCAGTCTCTGCCCAGGTGGGAGAGGGGCTGATGAGAGGGAGAGGGAAGTAGATACTGGGGTCTAACTGCTCTGAAACAGCAACTTCCTCACCCCACTAGCAGAGGTACCTGATGCTGCTATGCCTGGACCCTTGGGGATCCCTGCTGCAGGCTGAGGACCCAGCTCTCCTAGGCCTGTTAGGTCAGTAGACATTCCCCTCCCTCTGGCTTCCTCATTTTTGTTACTGTTGATTCTTCTCACAGTATTTATCTTTATGAATTCTTTCTTTAAAAAAAAAAAATTCCCTTTACTCTAAGTTGTAGTGGAGTTTCACCATTTAGTGTAGACAAGTAGACAGGTTCAATCCACCATCTTCACCTGCAATTTGTCCTGACCAACTGTCCAAATGTTTTTCGTTTCACCTTTTCAAAAAGTATGAGAGCAATTATTTAAAGTTCTTTATTCCCTGCTTTCTGTACCTCAAGTATTTAAAACATATAAGAAGTGAAAAATCAACCTATTCTCCCTCCTTTCCAATTCCCCAGAGTAAAACTTTGAATGCCTTACCTGAGGAACTAGACTGACGTGAATATTACAGAAGTTCTCTCTTTTGACCTTGAATTGGAATTGACGGAAGGCCTCGATAAAGGGCATGCTTTCTATATCTCCCACTGTTCCACCGAGCTAAAAGAATGAAGGATTTTAGAGGTGAAGCACTGAACCCTCCTTTTGTGGTTTAGTTCGCTAACAAAAGTACTCTGTCACCACAATTCAGTGATCATTAAAAACATAATGTGGACTCTCTGGGTCTGACAAATGTCAGTTAATAGTAATTAAATCATAGTTAACAACTAAATAGCAGTTAATAGTAATTAGATATTTTTTGTCCTACAAGGTTACTTTTTTTGGATATGCTCACCATTCCTCAAGGTTATCAATGGATTTTTACCCATCATTTCAAGAAAAGTCAACTGAAAGACTGAATTTTATTTGTATGAGCGTCACAAGGCAAAATAATCTAAATCTTATCTCCTCTGCTAGTCATAAACAACTTCTGGATTAGACATCAGTTATAAGCAAACTGTTGGAAATTAAGTCCTCTGTCTTCACAAGACACCGAGACCCAGAGAAGCAGCAGAGCAGAAGAGCAGAACCTCTCTCCTCATGCTTGGTCCTGCCAGAGGATGGTCAATACCCAGCCAAGTCTCTTCAGAGTGGATGAGGGCGTGTCGTGCCACTCTCACTGGTCACACAAAATGCATGCATAAATACTAACAGGGTGTTGCTTTCGGGGGCACAGCCATTCCAGGACCACTGACAAGCCCTTACCTACCACAGTGCAGTTCTGAGGGCCCAGGGCTTCCCCAGGAATGTCTTACCAGGTGCTGATGGCTGACTAAGGAGCAAATACGTATACTTTGATCACCTACACAGGGACACAGAGTTCAAGAAAAGAAGCATACAAACCTCGATAACACACACTTGAGGTTCTAAGCCATCTTCATCAACAGGTATCAATGCCTGTCTCATCACCCACTCCTGGATTGCATCTGTGATATGAGGGACAACTGGGAAAGAGAAAAGACACATGTAACTCATCCCAATTCAGTTGGCATCAACTGAGATAATTATACTACAGTGACCAAAACTGCTGCACTCTTTGCCTGCACAGAGTAGCAATGGTGTCATAAGTGTTTCTGAGACCACTCTTAACATGGCTTTAACCAGGCTTGGGCTCACAGTCCCCATGGCCACCTTTCCAGATTTCCAAGTTCTGGCTCGAAACACAAGAGAATAAAGCGAAGGTGACATCACCAGACACCTGCCCTGTGTTCCCTGTAGCTGCACAACTACACTGTGGACTCCACGGCCCCCCTACTGCTTACAGCTAAAGGAGAGGACTTCATGCCTGAGGGTTTTTTCAGGAACAAGAGAATGCCAGGAACCCGTCCTGTGGTATTTCTGGTTTCCCAAAGGGCAGGCGATCCACTGCAGACAGTGCAGTGTAGCACAGCGGCTAGGAGCACGGCATCTGGGGGTGCCTGGATGCAAATCTCAGTCCCACTACTCACCAGCAGGGGATCTTTGGGCAAATTACTTAACTATTCCTAAGCTAGCTCTCCCTATCTGTTAAGTGGAGTTGCAACAGCTCCTACTTCATAAAGCTGTGGAAATTTTATGAGCTTGCACCTGTGAAATCTAAGCAGCATGCCAAGCATGTCAGGGCTCAATAAAAGCCAACCATTTCTAAACACTTCTTAAAAGCATAGTTGTAGGGCTTCGCGAGCAAGTTCCTATGGGCAGAGATTAGTTTAAATAGCTAGGTACACAACCAGCAGTGCCTCAAGCAGAAGGATGGATATTTATTATCTAGTACAAACACACACACACACACACACAGAGCAGCCACAGCAGCCAAAGTGATCTTTAAAAAATGCAAATCAGAGTTCACACTCACAGTTTAAACCCACTGCACTTAGTAAAATCCAAACTCCAGGCCAAGATTCAAAAGAACCTCTATAACCTGACTGCTTGCAGCCCACCTCACCTACCATTCTGACCACCCCGCTTGGTCACTGTGTCAGTCCTCACGGCCTCTGATCTCTGACCAAGTCCTTGGTGGCCATGAACCTCTGCACAGGCTGTGCCTCCCTCCTCCTCTCGCTCTTTCCAAGGCTGGCCTCTCAGCTCAGAGGTCCTGGAGACTTTCCCTGACCACCTGCCCAAACTGGTTTTCCCAAGTCACTCCCTCTCCTCACTCTATTTGTTTTCTTCAGAGTTTCTATCAAACATGGAATTTCATCCATTTGTCTTTGTCTCTCCCATAAGGTAACTTCCATGAGGACAATGGCCTCCTTGGTCTTTGCATCATGTATCCCCAGCTCCAATGAGGGGCCCCCTGCAAAGAGCATTCAATAAATATTTGATGAATGAATGCATACATAAATGACTACACTGGAGGCCTTCAACACAAACTGCACAACCAAGACCATTTTAATTCCTAATTGATCCCTTTCTTCATGTCAGGAACTAGAAAAAACTCTTGAGTTTTTTACTTACACTGACTTAACTTCTTTAATACACCTAACAATCCATAGAGGTAGATACTATTATAATCTGCATTTTACAGAAAAGGAACCCAAATCTCAGAAGCAGATCACCTGCCATGCTCACAGAGCTGCTAAGAGGCAGAGCTACAATCCACACGTGACCCAATCAGCCCAGAATCTGGCCAGGGAAGTCCCAGACCAGAGCCAGCTGTCAGCTTGACCCTTGACTTTCAGTTAAGTCTAAAGCCAAAAACAGATTTATTCCCAAACTAAGATAAAAACCACTTCTCAGAACCTCCCCACCCCAAATTTAGACTAAGACCATTTTACTAAACTAAGGGTTTTCTAATGCCACCATTTTTTAAAGCAGGAGAACACTTTTATCAAATCAACACCATGCAAAACCTCAAGTGAAGCTGTGCCCGTGGATATGATGGGCAGAAAGGCCCACATGTCAGGCTCCCCAGCCCTTATGCACCAATCACCAGCCTAAAAACCAACACACAGGATTTCGGTTCCTCATCACTGTCTGTACAAGTCCCAGACACACGACACAAGCTGCCTTCATCACTGCACACTCCTCACTGTTCAAAAACAACAGCTCTCAGGACTCAAATCAGGCTGCAGGATGACAGCTTCAATGCCATTCCCAGAGCAGCAGTGGATTCTCCAAACTATACTTTGAGTAAACAGCCCCACAACTCTGAATTTTCAACTGAAGGCATATTTCAGTAATAACACCTTGACACGTCATGCTGAAATTACATAAAACATTAATTTTTTGTACACAAAAAAGAAATTAAATTGGTTAAGATTCTTAAATCTTGATGGCAAACCCAGCATTACCTTGGACGGTTTTCCCCAAGTAATCTCCTTTGCGTTCCTTGTTAATGACATACTGGTATATCTTCCCAGTGGTGAGATTATTGTCTTTGGTGAGGCGAATGTCCAAGAACCGCTCGTAGTTGCCCAAGTCGAGGTCAACTTCCCCTCCATCGTCCAGCACAAAAACCTCGCCTGCAGGGAACAATGAGAACATTCTTGGTAAGTGAAAAATACATATGCCGAGCAAAACTCAAGCCCCAAATTATAAACATTCAAGTAAAAAAGTCTGCACTGACTTGATGGGAAGCAGAAAAATTTACATCTAGAAAATGAAATACATCACGAAAGAAAAATCACCAACCATTCTCCAAAGGCTAACTGCAGTTTTCCAGTCTATCAACATCTCAGTCTGAATCAGAAAGAGCTACATGGAACTGTTACAAGGTTCACAGAATGGAACCGAGCTACAGACTCTAGGGCTGTGGACAGAGGCGACCTTACAGTGAAAGGGACCTGCTACCGACAGAAAAAGAACTGAGAAAGGTTCAGAAAGTATGACTTGATTCAAAACTTGGACAAGATACATACACCTCGGTTGTGTTCATTATAAAAACCACTCTCTGGGTTCACACTAATCAGTGTGGAACTGCACAGTGGCCCCCAAGTCTTGAACAGTCACTTCTTGAAACACATTCTAGAAGTTTTGCTCAGGATGCTTCATTCCTGCCATCACAACAGGAGGACAAGCTCAAAAACAGAAAAGGAAAAATTGTCTTCTTTTCTTCCCGCAGACAGAGCACTCATCCTCAGCTCAAAAATTCCATATTAGGGCCTCCCCAGTGGCGGTGGCACAAGGGGTTAAGACACTCTGCAGCACGAGTTCGATCCCCCTGCTGACCAGGAAGCAACCCACAAGGCACAGCGCAGACCTCTCCTGACTCGCAGCAGCATACAGTCAATCTTTCTATTCTGCTCCCCACTCTGTCTCTGGTGATCCTCTCAACCCCCCACACCGCTGGCCTGTACCCCAACTCTTGTATGCATAAATAAATCTTTAAAAAAAAAGAATTCCATATTAAACATGGCTCTGGTATGTCAATCTTTTCCTGTTGCTGTTTATTACTCAAGGATTTCTGTCCTGAGTACATTCACCCTTATAGATCTTACCGCAACATTAGAAAGAGGGAATATGAAAACAATTTCAAAACCTAGGATGTTTTAACAGTACATCTACCCCCAATTTTAAGTACAATTAATCATTTAGTAACACAGATACAGATTCATAGTTGACAGGCCCTCAGCAATAGCAAAGAAGTGCTATTTTCCCAGCCTTCCTTAATGGTTTCAAGTTTTCATTTATTTCAAAAGATGTTCATTTATATTATGCAAAGTGTAAGCAAAACAGAATCTCCAGCTTACAGATCATCCGATCCCAGCATCCACCCGTTGCCTGAATTCTACAAAGTGGCCGAGTAGCCTGTCTGAATGTCTCTACCAAGGGGAATCTACTTCTTAACGTGGTCACCCTGACATTGGAGAGAGCTTGCTATTAGATCTTTCTTATATCTATATATCAAAATCTATTTCCTTACAGCATTTTCTCATCTATCCTTTTCTAAAGTTTGGGGTCACTAAAAAAAAGCTGCTTCTCCAGTATTTGAATAGTTATTAGTCACCAGATTTCCTTTTTTACAAAAAAAGTAACAAATTTTCTTTAGTCACCAAAAAGATCATTTCTATTATTTCTATTTACAGAAATCGTTAGGTTCGAATCACTATATTACATATTAAAATCTCTGCTTCCTCTCTGTCCATGTAAGAAAACTATCATTCTGCTATGCCAGGGCCTTTTTAGAAGGCAGGAAGTAGAAGTTAAGTTTTGCACAATATTCAAGGACTGACAAATTCCACATAATACATAATTTTTTTTTTTAAAGAAGAAATGCATTTTGCTTACCATGTTCATATGGAGAGAATGTCCCTGCATCAATGTTAATGTATGGATCAATTTTAATTGAAGTTACATGTAAACCACATGACTTCAGTATGGTGCCCACACTGCTGGCGATGATTCCTTTACCAATTCCTGATATAACACCACCAGTAACTAGAATGTACTTCATTTTACTTTTTGACCTGGGAAAAGGAAAAATTACACATCACATTTATCTCAACAAATCAAAATTATCTAGGTTCAAACACCAGCTCAGCCACTTACTAGCTTTGAAACTGAGCTATGTGCCTCAGTTTCCTTCTGTCACAGGACTCTGAGATGTTATGTGGAATCATAACATTTCCCGGATCACTGAATGCCTTTAGTCAAATATGAATTAAAAAGCAACTGTTCATCAAATAAAGCACCTTTTGTTTAAAGCTTTGACAACAAACAACCTTGAAAGTCAATCTAATAAAAACAACCTAGTTCTAAGATGTGCACAGAACACTATGCCCCAAATGTTGGCTGAAATCCCTGCCAGACACAGGCAGGTATCTCATAATTTTCCCTAATAGGGGAAAAAAAAAAAACCAAATCTTGGAAGAGGACGATTCCCCACGAAAATGCCTTTGGCTAAACTACATTGTATCACCAAGAAAACATAGTTCCTCTTGGTTGTGAAAGGCAGAATAAAAGGGAAGTACTTCAATGTTGAAAATTAGTTACAGTAAAATCTAAAAAATCTTTTAATTAATAGTAGCTCTCCAGTTATTTAATAACAACTAACACTTTGTCAGCAACCTCTTCCAGGTGTGACAGGGAGAGAGATTTATATAGTGTAAGAAAGGGACACCAGATAATAAATCAGTCTGAGGCACATAATGGGCACAGGACTCAGAGAGGGCAGATTAGATTAAATCCAAAGAGGTACAGTTGTGACAGGAAATGGAACAGACTGGAGAGACAAAGGGAGAGGGCAGATGCAAGAGCAAAGGGAAAGGAGACAGCAGGAATTCATCATTTGCCCCCAGCTTCACAAGTGCAGAAACATCACTTGGTCAGAAAAGTCAACTGTGGGCAACATGAGAAACACTATCACCAAGTAGAAGATGATGTAGCTTTAGTACAGTCAGGACATCGCCCTCCTCCAGGAATACTTCGTGTGAAGGCAATTCATAATTTAAAAAACCAGCTAAGAAAGAACAAGGAAATTAGGGAGTTCTGCCTAAAGCATTCCCCACCCCCCTCTGCTTCACTCCTCCAGGAGCAGGAATGACCACACTTGGCAAGGAGGTTAAGAATGCGCAGAATGTCTTCCCCTTGCAACAGTAAGGAAGCGGCCCAATCAGTAAGGCTCTTTTCACCCTGTTGCATTTTCAAAAGCATGCTCCTTGACTTCTGAGAAATGCATACGGAATTCCCAAAGCGGGTCTAATGGGCAGATAAATCAAAGAAATGCTGGTTAAATAGTCAATTGATTTCTTTAATGCAAAGCCCCTGCCAGTCTTTAATAAGTTAATGTGCATTATGATGTCCCAAAAGGGGCATACAGTAAGTAAGCAGTTTCCCCAAACTTTCTTGACCCCAGTCCCTAATATTTGGGGGAAAACACTGTTCCATCATCTTAAGAGTTGATTGGTACCTGTTGACCCATGAATATCAGACTGGGCTACATTTTAGTTAAGTCCAAACCAGGCATATCCCTCAGATTACACCATGGTCTAAATTTTGGGTGTTCACAGAAATTCCTCAGCCACCCAGTGGGTTACATGAGTAGATTACATCGACAGACAACTCATCTCATCCATTCATCTGATTTACTCCAATTTTAATACAGAGGGTAACACCTGTCTATAAGGGAGATTCTGTGTCTTCTGCAGTGCTTGGAAAAAAATATCCCAATGTACTCAAAAGACCAGGTGGGGGGTAGACAGGAATCATTTACTCACATTTGTGGACTGCCCACTGTGCACGTCTGACTGGCACTTTGGGGACCACAAGGATTCATCAGATTTGGGCCCATTTCTCAAGTTGCTGACAATCCAGTTAGGACATTTACAAATAAATGAGTAATCCAGTGTTGGCTGAAAGCAGGACATGTGAAAGACATAAAAGGTGAAGGAAAAGGGAACAGAAATCTTTCAGTAGCAAGCCCAGGGTAAAGTACCATGGCCCATTTACAAGAGGTGAGAGAAGTCCAGCGAAAAGAATAGTCTGCTCCTGCCTGGTTGACCTGACACTTTGCAATGGATCTAGACTCGCTGCAGGACTTCAGGCATGGGAACCCCAACAGAGTAAACAGAAAGGTGAAGGCTATCTACAGAAAACAGAGATAGAGCCAAGAAAGGGGGGAGATTGGCGATGGGGGGGGGTGTCCGTGGGAAATAAGCTGGAAATGTACACAGGGGAGCAAATCGTGTGGAGAGGCCCAATCCGAACTTTATTCTGTAGGTCGTGGAGCCATCGAAAGGTTTTCGAGCAGAGGTGACATAAATCAGGATGCACGAGAGAATTCAACAAAGATGGAAAGAGCTTTCCCTTTGTTCGGTAAATGCAGTGAGCTCCACCACTTGTGTGCGGAGAACTGTCAAGTCACTTCGCAGCCTGACGAGTCCTCACAGCTGTAAAATGGGGTTGAGAACCTTCGCCTCGCCGGCCCCCCGGCTGCCGAGGCTTCAAAATGATGAACGTGGACGTACGTGTCCACGCAGACGGAGCCAACTTCTCTAAACGGCAGCATCCTCGCCCCAGCGGCCGGGCAGGGAAGCGGCCGGCCGCGGGGCCCTGAGGGGGTCGGCATCGAGGGCGATCGCCCCCCGGAGCCCCAAGGCCCCTTCCGCCCCCCGAGCCCGGCGCACAGGCCGCCGCAGCCCATCCCCCGCCGCGGCGGGCCGGCCTCGGACCTTGAACCCCCGAGCTGGGCGAGGAACGAGGCGCGAGGCCGAGCGGCGAGGGCCGCGCCGGGCCCCGGGTCTGGCAGCGACGGGGGGCGACGGGGGGCCGAGCGGCGGGGCTCTCGCGCCCCCAGGGCCCTCTCCGTCCCCGAGCCAAGCCCAGACACGGGTCGGTCGCGCCAAACGACGCGGAAGCCGGCGCCGCGGCGCCCCGCGGCCTTCCCCGCCGCCCCCCGCCCCCCGCGGCCCCTCCGCCCGGCAGCGACGGCCACGCGGCCCTGCGCGCGGGAGCCGGCTCCGCGCGGGCCCGGCCGCCCGCCCCGCTCCCGTTAGGCACGCAGCCCATTGGCCGGGGCCGCGCGCTCCCTCGCCGCCGATTGGCGAGAGCGCTGCCCGTCACCCCGCGGCGGGGCCGTCCCGCGCCGGGCTCCGCGCGCGCCGCGTCCTGCACGGGGAACAGCCCCGGGGCCCCGGAGCCAGCCTACCTGAGGCCGGCGCCAAGGCCCGCCGTCCGCTGGAGAGCCCGGTGGCCGCCGCGCGCGCTGAGCCCCGGCCGCCAGTGAGCCGGCCCGGCCGCATGCGCCCGGCAGTCCTTCGCGGGGGCGGGCTCTAGGCGGTGCGCACGCAGGGGTGGGGGCGGGGCGGGGCGCGGGCCCTCCCCGGGGTGGGGCCTGGGTGCGCGGGCGCCCGGCCCCGAGCGCCAGTGCGCAGGCGCGGGCCGGACTCGCTTTTCCTCCCCACCCACGGGGGGACGCTGTGCGCGGGCAGCGGTTCGAGGCCCGGCAGGTGCGGTGCCCCGGCCTCGCGGCTCTTGTCACAGCCCGTGGGCCAAGCGTTCTCACTCGAGGAGGAGGAGGCCCCTTTGGACTCACTCCCAGGGAATCCGTCGCCCGGCTCCAGCCCCCTTCCCCAACGGCCTTGAGGAGGCCCGACCCTTCATTCTCAGTCTCTAAACCCTTAGACCTTGGGAGCACCACGTTCTGGCCTCGCTGTAGTGCGTCCTCAACCCGCGCCCGTGGGACGCAGGCGCTGTCACATGACCTCGCAAAGGGAAGGGAGTCAGGGGCTGGCTCTTGGCTCGGCTGGCTGCCTTCTCTCCTCTGTCCTGACCGCCGCTGCCTTAGCTGGACACAGGCCCGCACACCTGCAGGTGGTCCAGCTAACGTTGAGGGAGCACCCGCGGGTGCCACGCTGTGCTGGGCGCCAACGGACCCTGTCCCAGTCTGCGAAGCAATGAGACAAACTGGCCAGTTCATGACATTTCATCATGTTTTGCCAGGGGAGTAAGTGCCCAGCTGGGGGGCCTGACCCTGGCACAGCAGGTTTACTAGCTGCCAGGGGCTCCCGCAGTGGGAGTTGAGAATTCAGGCAGGGCAGTCTTCCTGAAAAAGTGGCTTCAAAACTTAAGATTTAAAATTAACTGGCAAAAAAAGGAAAGGGAGGGGCAAGGATAAGATGAGGCAGAAGGGAAAGCCTGCATAAAGACCTCAGGAGAGCCTGGCCGGACTGACAGAGCTGGAAGCCAGTGTGCCTGAGTGGAGAGAGCCAAAGAGAGATTGACATGGCACCAGGCTGGCGAGGTCATACAGGCAGAACGTTACGGGATTTCCTTTCTCGTCAGGACAGAAACTTTTTTGAGGGCATTTTGTTTTTCTTTTGAATAGTGAATACAGCAGCTCCTCGAATGAGGTGGTTTTGTTCAGTCTTCGCATCCTCATAATATTGATGGAGAAAATCCAAATGAAAGACGTTATTTGAGGCCCTAGTTTCTTAGCAGTCACGTTGCTTAAAGTTGCAATTTCTGAGAAGCTATGGAAGACTTTAGGCTGAGGATTTACTGGTTGGTTTTTTTCCCAGCAAACTGCACAAAATCTGAAAAGTCAGTCTCTCATCTCCTTACCCCAGTGTTGCTGTTAGTTCCCTAGGAGCAATTTGTCACAAGATCTTGTATATCTTCACTGAAGATGGGTCATGATTAGGTGTGTATTTAAGGAAAGTCACTTAAACAAATAGAATTCAAAAGAATGTTAGAAGGCTGCTGCAGCAGCTCGGAAAAGAGGCTCTGTCTCCTGGCAAACCTGGATCGGCCCTGCTGCTCTGCCAGGCCCCCCAGGGCGCACCAGCTCCAGGTCTCAAATATGCTTGGCATGTGTTTGAAGAGTCTTAAGAAGTGCCTGGGACATGACAGACATTGAGAAAGTACTTGCTGACATTATGTGCTGCGTCCATTATGTGCTAGACCACTCTTCTGCATGACCGCATGACGCTTCCCTTTCTCTAGTCCTTGCATCTCCCCAACTTACCGTCCACTTTTGCTCTTGCTTTTTATTTCACTGAGAAAATAGAAGCCATCAGGAGAATTTGGACGAGCTCCCACCACTGTAGTCACCAGTTACATTTATCTGTGCGCACAGGCTCTGCCTTCTGTCCTGTACTGTGCACATACTGTCCACACTCCTAGAGGTCAGCCCCTCCTCCCTTCAAGGCCATCTCCTCTCATCATTATGGCAATTTTTCCAGAGAAATCAGGCGGCACTCAGAGAGGTAGAGAGAGAGAGAGATTTATTTGTCACACTGGCGGGCCCAGCGGGATAGCTCCCAAAAGTCTGAGCCCCCAAAAGCAGAATTTTATACAGTTTGAACCCCATCCATCATGGACTTTCCTTATTGCTTGGGTATGGGGTCAAGGAAGCCATGGATACTACTGTGGGCCGGCAGCAGACTGCAGCAACTCTGCTTCAGCGAACAGCAGAATCCAAGCAGCAGACTTAGCAACTTTCCACTTAAGAACTCTCTTAGTTCTCCCCTTTAGTGTGATCAGTTTCTCCCGTGCAACAAGATTTCTACTTCCCCTCCATGATGTAATTTCTCCCATCTTAAAACCCTCCTCTTGTCTCTGCATAATTAGTTACCCCTCCATATCTCTGTGCCCCTTTTCAAAACAACTAGAATATGTTGTTTGCATTTGCTGGGCCAAGGGTCTTCTCTCTCTCTTGAATTCATTCTGATCAGGCTATTGATCATGGCATTCCACTGCAACTGCTCTTGTTAGAAGATAAAGCTCTATGTCTCCGGACCTGTGCTCGGTAGACGGGCGCACACTAGAACCCAGGTCTGATCAGAAGTCCCAGGTAAAGATAGCAGTGTGGCTGTACGGCAGGGGCTTGGGTAACGTGTTTTATTACATCCTTTTGTTACCACAGTGAGCTAAGGATCTATTCTGGCCAGGGCCAGTATCTGTGTGGAACTTTTACATGCTCCCCCTGTCTGCATGGGTTTCCCCCGTACCCAGTTTCCTCCTTCCACATCCCAGAGGTGTGCATGTTGGATTCGTTAGTCTCAGTAGGAGTGAAAGGGTGTATGTGTGTGTGTGTGTGTGTGTGTGTGTGTCCTGCGGTGGAAGGATTCCGTGCCCCAAGTAGGTTCCTGCCTTGCTCCCCTGAGCTGCCAGGACAGGCCCAGCCCACCCCAGACCCTGAGCTGGAATAAGTGGGTGGAAGGTAAATGAAGGAATACAAACTGTCATTTAATATTCAAAGTGTTTGGGGTCTTTATTTAGAAGTTTTGTGGTGCTTTGTGACCGGAAATATGACTTAGGGACTTTACTTTTGTTTATAGCAGTTAGCCTGTGGTAAAATTGTTTCCTTTGTACCTTGTTTCCCTTGAAGTCTCCATTTCCAAGAAGCTGTTGACAACATTCAGTGAGGACTGACTGACTGTGTGTGGTGTGTGTGTGCATGCTTGCGCCGCTCCTCTCCCCTACTCTGGGCTCAAAAATTCTGTGTGCTCTGGGGTGCAGCCATATTGCTCCTGTGCCTGCCCCCAAAATGGACAACTTCCCTAACAGCATTTCTCATAGCTCCTCGCTCCCTCCTTACAACGTTCTCTCAGTTTTCCTCCTGTATCAAGGTCTCTCCTTCTGGAGCTCTTTTGCCAGATCCTTCACTCCTCCTGACCTAAACACTGCTGGCCCCAGGGCCCAATCCTAAGAACTCTTCGCCATCTACAGTCATTCTCTAGGTGATCTCATCCAGACCTTAAGTACCAATCTTTTACTACTATCCATATTCTGATCACTCCTAAATGTATAGGTAGAAAAGGCCAGGGGCTTGGTCCTGGGGGGCGGGGAGGGACATCTCCGCAGGGCTACTCCTGCACTAGCACTTGGGGAGGAGGCAGGTCTCAGGCTGAGGCCAGGCCCAGCCAAACCAGGGCAGGCACACTCTCCACCAAGGACCAGATCACAAGTATTTTAGGGTTTGTGGCTCATACAGACTGGATCCCACCTACTCAGCTCTGCCTTCAAAGTGCAAGAGTCACCCCAGGTAATACATCAATGAAATAAGTGTGGCTGTAGTCCAGGACAACTCTTTATTTACAGAAATAAAGATTTGGTCTGAAGGCTAAAGTCTGCCAATACTGAGCTAGCCACAGGTCTCGTCCAGCTTCCACCTGCCCCATCTTGCATCCCTCATTTCCTGACAGGTTCAATTGAGAGCATTTCTCAGTCATTCACTGGCCCAAGAACCCACCTCATACTGGTCCTAGGAAACCCAAGCCAAGACAGCACCCCTCCTCCATATCCCAGGGCTCACACTGCCAGTGCGGCCCCCTGACTGGTCTGTCTCCTCCACAGCAGATTGTCATCTCTTTGAGGTGAGTTAGCCTTTCTGCATCTCAGTTCCCTTATCAGGTGCAGTCTAGTTCACCCATTAATAACCAGGATCCAGCACATGCAAGTCCCACTACTAATCTGTGGTGTAGATGGCATCATTATAACTACATTACAGAAGGTGAAGCCGAGACCGAAAAATAGAAACATGCTCCTGAGCGTATACATGAAGGTTCACTTTGAAGCCT